TAGTATCGCGGGCACTACTGAACTAACCAGTGGTGGACACTGGAGGACTCATTACTGGTCATTGATGGGTCCTAGCTTCGGCCTCCCTAATCTTTTCATCCTGCTCCTTGCGGCACAGTATGTCCTCCCCCATTGAGAAGAACATTTTCTTTCAAGATAACCTTATATGACGCAGTCGGTAGGATTGTATTTTTGTGAATAACAAATTATGTTGTAAAATCATATCCTTATGGATAACATCAGTTTTGGATATTAAGATATTATTTATTCATATGAGTTATTCTAGACATGAATTTTTGTGAAATATGAATTGTTTTTGTTTTTATATCATACTATGAAATGTATTAAATTTCACGTGCAGGTTTCAACCAAATATTTGATAGTAAATATATACGTGTATATCATCATGTGTTTCCAATGTTATTATTTTTATTTATAATTGATGCCATGGTTGGATTAGGTTGGGACCAGCCACTTTTCCAGATATAAAGGTTGCCCACCTCCATTTTTACTGATGACCTTTGTACTTATCAAATTTTACTTAAAAACAAGTATTTTATGTTTTTCCTTTTATAATAAAAACAAACATACATGCGAGTAAACTTTTCAGTGTCTTTTATTGTCTATGACCTATTTTAGGTGCTGGTCCACAATACAACAAAAGCCAGCGGCCTATCTTCTAGGTCAGTAGACTACTAGGCCAGTCAGACTCAGATTGACATTATTTCATAAATTTATGTACGTATAATGATGTAGAAAATAAAGTTAATTATTATGATTAAAAAAATACTAATGTCTATATAGGACTTATTTTGTTCAATTTATATTGCAACAAACTTTGCAAAGCATTTAATAAGGAAATGTCTTCTGAATTTGAAGTTGTTAAGTACATATTGCTATCAAAAAATTTAAAGAAATAGTAAAGTTTGCCGACAATATATATAAACGAAGTAATTTCTTATGTAATATAGAGGAAGTAGGAGTAATTAAACCAGAATGAAGACCAATAACGATAAACTATTGGTAACGAAAAAGGAATTTTAAACAGAGTTCAGTTGATTGTGATGCTTTGTCATAAATATATATGTCATGTAATAATTAAATAATTAAATATTTGTAATGTCATAAACAAAATAAAAATGTAAAAATGCTAAATTAAACATTTTTGACTTAGTATAGGTCAGTCTGTTGCATTATTCACTACACTCAGAATTTAAAAAAAGAAGAAAAATACAAAATGCACACTATTTTTTTTATTTGTTTAAGTTATTTTGTTATGAAATTTTCTCATACTTTGTTTACAAGAACACTGTTGATAGTCTGCTGTTCAAATTTTGAAGGTTTGTTTATTGATTCAACATTTATAGACTGGGAGTTAACAAAAAATAAAGATATGCAGTTTATTTTATTGATGTAACACACTAAATTAGTACTTGCTTATATCTAACTATGTTACCATGTTGAACAATTGTACTATGGTAGTTAGTATATTATTTTTATTCAACAGTTTAGTAATCAATTTTTTAGGAATAAACCCCTCTTCATATTATTCACATTGATCATATTTATAATCACCATACTAAGTCTGTGGTGATAATATAAGGTAATAATAAATGATAATATTCTTACACATAAAGACAATAAAATTAATTTGATTGAAAAATAATAAAATATTGACTAGGCACTACAGATAAATATATATTTTAAACATATACATAAACGCGAAAATAGAAATAAAATGTAATTATTAGAATATAAAATAGAGATGATGAAAATTGTATAATAATAAAATATTGACCAGGCACTACAGATAAATATATATTTTAAACATATACATAAACGCGAAAATAGAAATAAAATGTAATTATTAGAATATAAAATAGAGATGATGAAAATTGTGTAATAATAAAATATTGACTAGGCACTACAGATAAATATATATTTTAAACATATACATAAACGCGAAAATAGAAATAAAATGTAATTATTAGAATATAAAATAGAGATGATGAAAATTGTATAATAGCATAATATAATGTATGTTAGTACAGTAGTAATTTAATATAAATAACACTCATAATTATTTTAGTTAGTTACAATATAATAGTCATGACTATGGGTTGAGTTTTGTGTTATAGATTTCTAGTATACATAATAGGTTTATTTTCAACCTTGACTAATCTCAGATTAGTTTCGGTATTCACACAAATTACATTATTGTGTGGGAATGTAACACTTAATTTTTTAAATAGAGATTTGTGTCTTTTAAAATAGTGTTTCTCAATTTTTTTAATATTTTAACCCCTATAAATTAGTACTAGAATTTTAAGATTTTAAAATTCCTGAATATTTATTTTATACATTTTAAATTATTGGATCCATATTTGAGAAATAGTTTTAAAATACAGAAATCTCACATAAAATTTAGAAAATGTGACTTGATACACAAATTTGGTGAAGCTTTCATAATGGATAAACATAAGTTTACATAATAGAATACTGAATATGTTATGAATTATGTTATACATAGATTAAAAATTATGGTTAGTAGTTAGTATTTGAATATGGATAATATTATTATTGAAAAAAAAAAAAATCATTGTATTAAATTTGTTTGTGCACTCTTGTAAATGATATACAATTTCAGAATTTATTCCTCGGTACATTCAAATCTAAACAATTACTTATCTCTAAAAAAATTAAATTTAAAAATTCCTACTACTTTATTATAATATATAATAAACATATAAAAATACAAAATATCAAATAATTATTACATTAGTAAATTACATATGCACAATAAGTAAGTTGATAATTTATAATTATTTTAAAATTTAAATTATCAATGAAAATGATAAATAATATTGTATTTTATGAAAATTTTGAAAATAATCAAATTTCACTCAACCAATATACTACATTTTTTTATTAATTATACAATAAAATATTGTTTTCAATTTATTTAAATAAATTATTAGTTATACAATAAAATAACACTACATTGATTCATATTTAAAACATGATTTGTATTTAATATTAAAAGAATGGTGGTTTAAAGTTAATTTTCTTATTACAAACAAATTGTAAAATTTAAACTATTTAAAATTTATTTTTTTGGGAAATCAGTTCGATGCTAAGTTATTAATTTACAACAGGAAAATAAAACAAATGTAAAGAGTTAAAAAATTATTTTAGCATAGCGAATAAAATTTTTTATTTGTAGTAAGCAATTTGAGATATTAGTCTTTTTAATTAAAACCCGAGTCCTTTGAAAGGAGGTAGCAATATACATTTTTATCCTGCAAGCATCATATAATTTTTTGGGCCAATTATATAAATCAAAGCAGTTGGGCATTATGCTTTTTAGAATTAATAATAATAAAGAGTTATTCATTTAGCAGTATTGTGTTTTACAATTTTACATAATTACAAATATTTACAAATTTTACCGCATCGTCTATCACTAAGGATGAAATCCTTGTTTTGATAGGCGAGAGTTTATATATAAACGAAAAAATAAATAAAAATAAATATTAGAGAAAGAGAGAGAAAAAAAGTACAAAACAATTAAATAGTAATAATAATTAAAAAATAAAGCTAATTTATATAGTAATGACAGTAATGATTTCTCAGAATTTGATCATTGACCTATAACCATCTCTTTACAAGCAATTTGTAGTTAATAAGTTTACACCATTTTAATAAAGTTGGAAGATTTTCATGAATCTTTAAAACCATTATTAGATAGATATCATAATATTTTTCGGTGTTTATTTTGGGACATATTAAAATTATCAGATCTCATTTCATATTTATGAATGATTGGTTGTATACTTTTTTTTATTATATAATTTTTGAATGACTAAGATTTTCGATTCTAAGAAGAGATAAATTATATTAAGTAATGATTCAAGTGATTTAATCATCAAGTAATTTGATTATGTGTGTAGTAATGTTGTTATGACCTGTGAAATGCCTTCTTTTAAGGACGAAATAATATTTTTTATTCTTTCATATTTGTCTTTCTTAAGTATAAAGATTAGTGATTTAATGGTGACTCATTGTCTTTTATGACATCTTCAATCTCATTTTTAAAACTGTTTACGCCTTTTGAAGAAGCACAAGGACTTGTAATTGTTGCTCTAGAAATATATCAGCATTACCATTAAGAAATCTGTAGATTGATACAATGTAAAATGAAAGAGTCACTCATTGTAATTTTTGTTATTAAACAGTTTGCATCAGTAAAGTTAACTTCTTTATATGAAAATAAACAATAATTTCTTATAAAAATAACTAAATCATCAATCTTTTTTCATTATTAATTATATGTATTATTTGGTAATTATTTAGAAATATGTATTTTCATCAAAGTTTTTATGTAGCCATGTTTCAGAGAGTGAGATAATATGTGTTTGATTACCAATTTTCTCTAATAAACATTATAAATCAAATATGTGATTATTTATGCTACAGATTTTCATGTGGAGTAAATTTAAAATTTGCTTGTGTTTATTTAATTTATTATTTAGTTGATGTACATGTATTGTCATACTCAAATTTCTACGTCAGAAAATTATTAAATAAAACATTATTATGGGTCATTTATAAAATATGTACGTATTGTGTTATCTTTAGTTGGAATTTGGTTTCTATTATTCGATATGTGTGTGAGAAAATTATTATTAAAACTATTGGTTTTAAATGATAAATGATAATTTTCAATGAATAGTTTATAGTTACTAAATCATAATACAAGGAGATGGTTATATTAATGACCGTATCCAGTATAATACTATTATAGATATAAATGAATTTTTAAAGTAAAATTAATCAATATAATTAAGGTTAAAGATACGATGATTGGGTGATTATAATGTAGGGTAATCATTAAAGAAAGATATAAACAAATAATAATATAATAATAGGAATGCATGCAGTGGTGTTTAATTATAAACATTAAATGATATAAATAGTTAATATTAGCAAAATTGGTATTATTAAAGTGAAAGGATATCAATTTCTGTGTAGATTTTTTGTACCTTTGAATTTTCATCTTTTCGAATTAGGATATCTGATTTCTCGCTCAACCATATGTATTTGTAACCCTTCTCTCTGATTGTTGCCTTGGTTTTACAATATAGTAGTCTTCTATACTTGGTGAGATGATTGATAATACAAAAACGTTTATCTTTAGGCCATCCTGGGTTTAAATTGAATAGATTTAATGTTTTATTTCGTTTGTAGTTGGATATGATGGCTGTTTTCATACTTTCCTGTGAAAGACGGGCGATAATTTTATTTTCTCCCTTAATTGTAATAGGTATTCTATATGCTTCTTCAACAATGACGGCTGTATTTAGTATTTTTGCAATGTTCATGACAATGTCAATACATGTCTCATTAGCTACTGATGGTATACCAATTATTTCTATTGAAGAATCAAGGTTTTTTTGTTCAATATTATCCATCTGTTGTTTGAGATCTGAAATTTCTTGGTTAAGTTTATTATTGATGTCATTAAGTTTTACATTTTCAGTACGAATTTCATTCATTTCTTCAAGTATTTTATTAATTGTTTCGTTCAAATCATCAATTTTTTGATTAGCAAATTTCATGGAGTTAGCAAGATTTTGAATTGAGGTTTCTGTGGTTTTATTATTTGTAGTTTGTGATGATTTATTCCAGTTATATTTGCAGTCTGAACATACCCATTTACTTTTGTTATTTTTATTTTGATTTTTGAAGGTCAGCTCATTTAGGCCTTCGCAAATATAGTGGTACTTGTTTTTACATTGCGAGCACGATATTTCTTCTTTCGCTATTATCTCTTTGTCACACTTTGAACAGGACGTCATTTTCGTGATTTAATTAATTAAGTAACTAAAACATAAAATTGGAACGTAGCTAAATGCACAATATGTAAACAAATTTACTACTTACCTTGACGAATGTTGATAGGAGACAGAAAACAAAAGAAATGGTCTTATGACTTGTGTCCTAGTGGTACTGAACTATATACTATGGAAGGCGCATACTATAAATCAATAGTGGCATGAAAGGCCGTCATTGTGATTCCGTTTCAATTATTTCCGATATCGTACGTACCGTGACTAACTTCATTTAGTGGTTTTCGATGTTTGTTTCTGACTTCATATTGTTAATATTAGTTTTCTGTGATAAAAGATAATGAAATAAAAACTCAATTGGTATGGTATTCTAATTACTTTACACTATGTGCCTGAAGTCAGAAACAATCATCGAAAATCACTAAATGAGGTTAGTTACAGTCCAAATGATATCGGAAATAATTGAAACGGAATCACAATGGCGGCCTATTTGGCAGCTCACTTATACTATATAGTTCAGTGCCTGTGCCCATCAAAAATTTGTATTTGATACCGGGATAGTGTCAAAACAATCTGACTTTTCAATTGTTGCCAACCTAACATTTATAAACTAATCTAAAATTAAACCAAGTCTTTTCGAGTTTTAATCACAAATAATATAATAATATTTTTTAATACCCATTGAATTCGGTTGTTATATTTATATTTTATTTTGCCTGTTTCAAGATAACATTTTTTTGTTTTCGAACCAACAGCTGTGAGGGATTTGTTTTTACAATACTTCCACACAGCTGCCATTGTTTATTAAACAATTACAGATAATATACTTATTTTAAATCATCAAATCATATTTTTTATATGAGAATTGAGGGAAAAGTGGAAGAGTATTCAGAAAATGACCAGTATGGATTTAGAAGGCAAACAGTTACACGAGGAACAATTCTAGGACTACTGGTGTTGATTGAAAAGCAGATTAAAAAAAATAAAACTACATATTTGGCCTTTAAAGATTTAGAAAAAAATATTCAACAACGTAAACTGTAATAAAATACTTATTTCACTACGAGGAATAGGTAATGAACAACAGGACCTAAGGATAATCCATAGTCTGTACAAAAATCAGACAGCCAGTATTGAAAAGGGAGAAGTAACTACTACCGCACAGATGAAAAAAAGGAGTCTTACAAGGATGTACGTTATCACCTCCACTTTTCAATTGTTGCATCGAAGATACTATAAATGAAGTAAAAGTAAAGTTAATAGGACTAAATATTGGAGTCATAATTGGAGGGCAAAATGTCTCAATGATAAGATTTGCAGATGATATTGTGATGATAGCTGATAGTGAAGGTGGCATACAGCGTGCAGTGGATAAAATGACTGAAATCTTCAGAATATTAGAAATGAAAATAAATAGCAAAAAAATGAAGATTTTAGTATGTACCAAAGACCCAAAAATAAAAGCCAAGATTTACATAGGTCGTAAAAAATTAGAGCAGGTAGAAGAAATGGTGTATCTGGGAAGTAAAATAACATATAATTGTAAGAGCACCAGAGAAACCAAACAGCGTATTTCATTGGCAAAAATTGCTGTCAGCAAGAAACACAAACTATTCACGTCAACAAAGCTGCTACTCAATATCAAGAAGGGGCTCATTAAAACATATGTATGGAGTGTTGCAGCATATGGAAGTGAGACGTGGGCCATAAATAATGTTAAAAAGAAAAACTGGAAGCTTTTGTATGGAAGGGATAAGTTTGATGGAGAGAAAAACAAATGAAGAAGTACTAAGAACTGTAAAGGAAAAACGGACATTCATAGATACGATGGGAAATGATTGGACATGCTCTGAGACACCCAGAAGAACTGTATAATATAATTATAGAGGGTATGATAATGGGAAAGAAAACAGCAGGACTTAATACTACAGTAGTTGTTCGCGTTCCGAGTTTTTCGATTCAAGAACCTAAGAACTTGGAGGCTCGTACTGCTTTTTCTCTTTGAGACTCAGTTAGTGGAACCCGTCGGTTTGAAGTCGCTTTATGAGATTTCTTCGAAGCGTGAAATCGGTGACCTGACCGGTGGACTCATCGCTGGTCACCGGTGGGTTTTAGCTTCGATCCTTTCATCCTGCTCTTTTCGGCACAATATGTCCTCCTTCATTGAAAATAATTTTTTTTTTTTTTTTGGGAGGAAGTAACTTTTTGACTAGAAATCCGCTGCAATCGAAAAACTACAAATAATCTTTTTGTTGGATTTTGAATCTAGTATTCTAGTTTGTTATTAAGAAAGTCGTGTTTTGATTTTCCAGTCAGTTTTCATAATAACTGAGAAAAACCGGAAAAATACGTAAAATTAAAACACGTGATAACCAATATAGCTTAGCTTATCCATTGTATTTATTATCAATGATATACATTTTATATGATGAGAATATCTTTGGTTAGGTTTTCATTTGTCTGTTTTATATTTTACGCGGCATGTTTAAAATAATGTGTTTATACATTAAATATGGATATTCCACAATGACTGCAGTATATTAGATATAGCAGTGCGCAATACGCAAAGAGTGGACAGGTAATTGGGTAAGTTTAGGTACCTATAATTCATGAAATGTTAAAATTATAAAATATAAACAACGCATTATTTATACTTAGTGTAAAAGGGTATTATTTTACAGCATTATAATATACCGTAGGTACTTATATATGCGTGCACGGCGCACACTAATGTAATTTACGAGATGAAACATTTTAAACGATATAATATGTGAAAGGAAGTCCTCTGTGTCATACGGTTTATATGCATGTGAACAAAACTGAACGCACTTCGCACCCAATCCCGGATTAAAATAGGTAAGACATGGAGCAATAGACTCCGGGCCAAAAGACTCCAGGGGTCTCAGTTTATGCCAAAATGTGTTTTTTATCTATATATGTTATCATTTACTTTGTATTTTTGAATATTTACTTTTGATATTATTATAATGATTTTTTATGGCGAATAAACTACTAGTTAGCTTTTTATACAAATATAATTATTTGTTTAATAAATTATAAAATAACCGTGGCTTTTGAATTGAGATTCATCACCCTTATTATCTCTACATTATATTTTATTGCTAAAACATAATATTATCATATTGTGTTTACAGGAATGTTTTTAGATTTTGAGTGGAGCGAAGAAGCCTATGGTATATTTTTTTTAATGTAAACAACTTTTCGACAAGCAATTTTGTTCCGATGTACAATGATTTACATGTGGTATTTCATACTTAACCGGGAAAATAGGTACAATATCAAAGAAATATTATTAAAGAAAATATACAATTCATAATAATATGTAATTATTTTATCATAAAATAACATTTACAGGCTGTCCCACGAAGATATACCCCTTCAGTATCTCCGGAGGTAATTAAGATAATTAAATTCTATTTTTAATTTATATTACTTACGGAACGGTGACTTAAAATATTTATATTTGAAGTACATTTTTTTAAATTAAATTTTTTTTTTATCATTCAAAATTTGTATATTTGAGTATCTTTATTATCTCTAAAGATATTTAAGGGGTATATCTTTGTGGGACAGCCTGTATTATATATAATATAACACACATAATAAGTTAAAATATAATTATTTAGGTCGTAGCAACTCAACAATACATATGAGTATTTTAAATAAACATTATTTAATTATGAGTAGGTACCTGTGTCCTGAAATTGAAACAATAAAAAACAGTATTATAAAATATACAAACATGTAAATATATATTTTATAATATATTAATAAAAATCTTCTACGCTTTATTTAGCAAAACTATCTTTATTTTGTAGTCTGTCAATAATACTAATGTTATATTATTTATAAGTTTATATCTTCTGATACGTACTGTTTGAATTATAAGTGATAAACTGATGAAAAAACAATTTTATAAAATTACAAAATTAGTATTTTAAAATATAAATTATATTACATTAATGATATTTAAACAATGTACTTATTTCATAATGTTGTTTATATAACTAAAGAATATAAGTGATACTTCTTGGATACAAATACAATTAAACACAACTCACAATTCATCATTGAATGATTATTTATTTTATAAATATAAATAAACAATTCAAAGAGTAGTAATAATGATAGTTTAATTTTTATTTAAAAAATGGATACAATAAAGAAAGTAATATATTTTATACATTAAATTGTTTGTCTTCTTAAGACAAAGCTTAGTATCTAAACATTTAGACACCTTTTAAAATACTTTTCATACATATTGGGACCCTACAAAGATATACTCATTGTAACATCTCCTGAGATAATAAATTAATCAAATTCTATTTTTTATTTTTTTATATAACTCACAAAGATAAGGACTACAAATACTTAGATTTCAATATTTTACATTTTAGTACAGAATTTGATTATATTTATTATCTCATGAGATATCGCAATGAGTATATCTACATATGACACCCTTTATTATCCTGTCATTATAAAACAAATAATTACATATTTTATACACTAAGAATTTTGAAAGAGTAGGTAGTTAATTAATTAAGTATTTACAATTTACATGAATGGAGTATAGTACAGGAGTGGATAATTATAAATGTACCAGAATGGTAAATTTTCTATATTTTAATTTAATTTTTTTTCTGAAACTAAACATATTTAAGTTTTATTGCTAAACAAGTTTTAAAGCGTGTAAATAAATTAATCAAACATATTTTATTAAAAGATTCACAGGGATGATTAAAAGTTTGTTACTTTTTTATTACTCATTTGTTACTTCACTTTGGTACCTCTACACAGTCTTCATAGGAAATGTAAGAGAAGTTGTCAATACTAATATTTTCTAATTCAGATATGAAATTATAAAAATCATCATGAAATTTCCAAAGTTTGAATGATCTTTAATAGGGTAGGCTTGATAGAAATTACTGGTCTAATTCTTTGTATAATAAGCATAATCTGCACAAACATGACAAATATGTTTTTCTAAAAATTTTCACATTAAATAACATTTAATAATTTAATAATATAAGTTAGTGAACTACGTTGTGGAATGTCAAATTATCTATAATTAACTGTACCAATTTTAATAGGTTTTAAGTTAAAAAGGTTTTCATCTGTTCCTTAAAGATTAAGAATTTTTTAAGATTGCAGTATCTCACAAACTAAAATTTCACCTATATCTAATGCAATTTGCACCTGGAAAATGTTTAAAATAATTTGCATAAACATTTTTGTTTAAATGAGTTTAAAAAACTCAATTGGTGTTTATATTGGTATCGTATTGTTGGCGGAAATAACAAAATTATTTTTCTAAACAATACTAATTCAGGCACTTAGTATAAAAACATAATTTGTATCTTTACTTGGATTTAAGGAATACCACAGCATTTTTAATAAAGGTATTGAAATTAACCAAAAATTAATAAAATTCATTAATAACTTTTATGTTCCTAAGAACTTAAGCCATTTTATTTAAATGATTAATTTGTGATTCAGTATTTTTAAACGGTCTATTGAATTCTTTAAGATTAGGTGCTTTAAGAGAATTGAATATGAAATCAATAGTGGATTGAGCAATAGGTGGCAAAATACCGGGCTTTGAGGTCGTAGACATACCAGAAGCCATACTAAATTACCACACTATTACTGAAAATTTGGGCAGCTAAATAAACACTCATTTTTTTTCGAATAGTCCTGGATAAATATGTATATGTGCATGTTTTAGGTTTGGAGCCAAGCAAAAATTACTTTCTGAATCATAATTGTAAAAAGATTCAATGTGTGCTTTATATACTATTGATCCATTAATTATAAAGTTGTGTTTAAAATACATGTTGCTAATACATTTCAAAAGATTAGGAGGGGGGATCAAAAATTAAAGCTTTTAGAAAAACTTTCCTTATTCTTAAATTGAGATTTGACAATCATAAAGAGGGTAGGCAACAAGTATTCTTTACATGTTTTCAGGCAAGCATTTCATTTATTTTTAGTTTCATTTGCTAATTGTTGATTCAAATTTATAATAATTTGTTTCAACTCAGTCTGAACTCGTTCACTTTCATTAAGGTTTTCCCGAAGAGGAACTTTTCGGAGTTTTGGATGACAAATAACTTGACGTTTGTGTAGAGCCATAATACTTCGTTTCTATGTCCATTGATGTTGATGCATCAGATATTCTTTGTGAGTTTATCGATAAACGAGCAGAGGAACCTATACAAATTAAAATACATAATTGCATATAAGGTAATTATCCCCAACATGAATGTTTATATAAAATTAAATTAATTCAATGAATATTAGATTTTTCAATTAATTAAGATTTTAAGCAACACTAGATATACAATTATCTGTGGAATAGGTTGTTGTGGTTACCAAAAATAAGTGAGCGTTTATTGTAGTTACAAAATATATTATATAAGACATACCAGGTGTCAAACATAATAATGGCATGAAGTCTGAATTCCTACATTTAGAGCTATCATTATTCTTTGATTCATCCACGCACTCAACTTCCATAGCATCAAACAATTTAGGTACAGCTTCTGCCTTTAGTCTACTATTCTGAAAATTAGAAAACATATTAATTTCAGAATGTAAAGAACAAACACTATACTTAATGTTAATATCCAATTTGTTGATTGTTTTTATGATTATCATATTAAATTTGCAATTTTCAATCCAAACGGCGATTCTAAAATATTTTTATAAATATAATTAATAATAATAAATGATAATACATATTAAAATGGAATAACAGTTTAATCAGTTGCAACAAGAGCTAACTTGATTAACTTAACTACTAACATAATACATTTTCCTATGCTAAATGAGAACAAATCAATTAAAATGTAAGTAGATAATATATAAATAATAGGTACTCCTTTAATATGGCATATGCTACCTACCATAATTTCATTGATGTAGTATGCTACCTACCTGTAAATTGTTATCAACCAAAAAACTATACCTATGCTACCTACTATAAAATGTCATCGGCCTAAAACTGTTATATGTTACATATTTTACCAAATAATTAATTAAAATGTATTAGAATAAAACTTTTGCTGATGATTATCATTACCGAGTATTTTAATATTTATAAATATTGTTGTCATGTATTTTTTCTATGTCATCCCGGAAAAACTCCAAATAAATTGTATGCCATTCCTCTTATTAGTTGGTGGTCTAACAAATTTGTTATTTTTAATTCCATATTTGGTTTTAACATGTCTCTATTTACATTCCATCGTTTTGTAGTTACAGGTACTTTCTCGCAATAAAATGAAATAAAAATACATATAATATACATTATATAAGAATTTTTGGTAGGTAGCATATTAGACGAGTACCAAATAATATGTAAAAAAAAATTACTTACCTAGCAGTCTTTTGGGATAGAAAAATACGTAGGTATGCCATCCTTATTCAAAATGTGGCTTTTACAATTGGTGGAGCAACATTTTGAATACTGTTTGGACCGTTTATTAACAAAAAAAAACTCCATTGCATAAACAAGACTAAAAACAATAAAAATCGAAATGCACACGCTAATTGTTACGATTATGTACATCTACTTAAACCCATGATAGAAACATATTTTCAATGTATTGTCGATATCGTTCAGTTTATACATCGTTACGACAGTGTGGCTACCACCCGCACAAAATTGAAAACGTAATAATATTTAATTTGTGGTCAGCCCTGTGCTTGCATTCAATATGGCTGACTGTTCGAGTGGCCAAAATATCTATTCTGATTTCATTTATTCTGTGATAATACAACGCGTTTATCAACCACCAACACGTATCTACACATGAAAACACACCATCCACCCGCACTCCTATTTTTTTCTAATATAAATATATTCTGTTACTACCATCTTTTTTCTGATTTCTATTCTATTACACCATGCTTCAGAACTATTATTTGTACGAACTAGCCCATGTACTTATGACAGTTTCTTTAGAAATTTTTCTTTTTTTTTTTTTAGAAATTTCGGTAGGTAACTGTTTTATCTGTCTATGCATCCCTATAAAAATAAAAATTAGAAAATAGAGTAGAATATAATGGTGAGCTGTGCATAACGTATGTACGGATTCCTAGTCATCCAGGTGATCGAAGAAGATCCCAAGGGAAAAAACCTTTAAGAAGATCAGAGCCTAAAGAAAAGGAAGAAGTAGAATATTACCTATACGGCTATACAACATAATAGAATGAAAGTCTTTTGCCAAATCCATTCGCTGAGATGTACTTGAACCGTTAACGTACGTATGCACGTTAATATTCGTTAAATATAAATATGCGGTTTGGTTGGTGGTTGTCTTCTTATATTGTATTAAATTTGAAAAATGTAATTAAAGCATCTAAAAAAAAAAAATGTATTTTCTAGAAAAGTTGTTGTACCAATTATTTCAAATATTATAAAAATAAAAATATCAAATTAAAAACTTTTATACAATTTTGTCTTAAAAAAATATAAACTTTTGAAAGTTGTAAACTTTTAAAGTGCAAATATGAATCAAATATAAATATTTAATGGGATTTTCTAAGTTTTTATGATTACAAGTTTAATTTAGTAAAATTAATACACCAACAAAAGGATTTGTCGAAAATGTTGAAAAATAATGAATTTGCGGTTATTTCACTGTCACAAGTATTTTACGATTTTATAATGTAAACTTTACTTGCGTTTTCAATAATTTCAGAACAGTGTAGGTGCTATCCTACATGTACCTACGTGTATCATCGATGTACCTACATCGATACATTCCATCTTTTGGTTTATTGTAAAACGTTTTTAAGTTTGATTTCGTGCTATATCGTGGTTAATCCATCAAACATTTTATTTGTTTGCAAATTTGATCCATTTTTATTCCGAAAAAAATAAAAGCTTTGATTATTTGGATACACCAGTAATAATCACGGCAAGGTCTATAGAAAATCCGTTTAAACTGAATTTTATTGTATACAACATTGTATAGAATAATATAATAATGCGAGATAAATCGTACGGGTCTCGGATATGGTTATTTTCAATTGGAAATCTAGTAGATAATAGTCCATTCGTAGTATTATTGGACTCATCAGTGACGTCGTGATATTATTGGACTTATCAGTGACGTCGAACACCGCGGGCCTACAGTTATGATAAGTGTATGAAATCGTTAATATATTATAGAGGGAGAACTATTTATCATGGAACCAGCGATTTTCCCGAAAGATTTTAATTGAACTGATTATTGAAAAACTTTTTTTTTTCGAATATCATGGAACCGTTTTAACTTTATTTTAATACTATTTTCAATTGTTTACCCTCACTCCTTATCAAGGACCTTAAATTAGAATACATTTTTAATATTTAAATATAGGACCTCTCCCTTTTAAACACAGACTACAATTTACGTCTTTTTACATAAAAAGGAATTAGTTCACGTTCACGTTCGTCTTGTTAAAATGGAACACAGACTTGTTTCAGTATTAGAAATAGGGACTATTCTTTACCTCGTCTCTAAGGAAAGACTAGTTTTGATTCTTCTTATAAAAATATAAATGACTAATTTGTAATTTATATACAAATATTTTTGTTTTTATTACATTTTAATAGATTATCGGTTCTATAAACATCAATAATCTGATGTCTAAAAAATGTTGAAAACTTTTTTATAAATAAAATTCTAGAAAAAAAAAAAAAACATAATATTTTGATTTCCGATTTCGATTTCCTAACTTCTCATATACAACAGCGGCTCACCCATTGTGCAAAGTATGCCCGTTTGTTTTTTGAAATGATTTTTAAAGCCATGTTAAGTACTCAGATTTAATTTATATTTCCATCTAACCAAACCTATATACAGGGGCGTCATTTCACATTTTTTTTATGGGATGCAAAACCTTTGCTGAAAATTATTAAAATCAACTCGCGTAGCATAAAAAGCACGTTATCAATAATTTCCATATTCAAATTTATTTTTCAATCATCATATATTTAAATGTATAAAATACAAAACTTAGGTATCTAGGTTTACTATCAGAATAAACAATATATTATTATGGATAGTTTAATAAACATATAATAAGTTAATACAAAATCATTTAGGTAATAACAACTCAACAATAATACCTATAGATATTTTAAATACCCAAGTATAACTTAATTACGAATAGGTATGTAATAGGCATAATCAATATATATATATAAACGTATCTACAGATACTATTATCATTCTATCCTGAAATGTAAATAATAGAAAACCTTAACAGTATTAAAAAATTCATAAATATGTAAGCACATATTATTTTGTAGTACATTAATAAAAATCTTCTTCGCTTCAATTTAACAAAAATATCTTTATTCGGTGGTCGGCACTACCTATAATAACAATATTATATTATTTAGAACATTGTTTATATAGGATAATGTGTGATAATCATGTAATTTAGGTCATGATCAGATAATAATTAAACAAAAATGTCTAAATGCAGTAATTATTTATGGTAGTCGGGAGAACGAAAAGTTCTGGCGGCTGGCAAAAACGATAGTAACAATTTATTTTCGATAAACAGGGGAGGTGGCCGTGGCTTCACTATTACATTAATAATTCAAAATACGCGCGCTTTGTTTCATAATTTTGTGAAACCATGATAGAAATACACCACCCGGAGCGTGCGCATCAGCCGCCACTTTTCGTTCTCCCGACTATAGTAAATAATAACTGCATTTTGACTATTTAGACATTTTGGTTTAATATAGCGCCCGATCTTCACTGTACGTTTTGGTTAGCTCCCAGCGGCGAATGAATAAATTAATATAATCTTTATAACGATTGATGAATTGCATATTTTCATTCCAACTATTTTACCAGAAGATTTGGGATTTTTACGTGTAGCACCTTTCCGGAAAAGGAAATCGGCGTGGGGAGGTACTTTAGGGAGGTTCGATTTTCTCAAGAGTTTTCTCATCAAATGTGAAAAACCGGGATAAAACATGGGAAAATCGGCAAAAATGTAGGGAAATTGGGAAAATCGGTACAATATTAAATAAATATTATTAAAGAAAATATATAAGCCAGTATGCCGCGTGTACGGAATATATATGCATATTATTTTTATTATCAAATCGCCTATTAGCTATCACAATATAAAGTACCAAGTACTATTGATTATATGTTATATAATATTATAATCAATGCCAATGCATAATTTTTTCACGGCGCAATAAATAATTTTCAACAGTGCAAAATTGTTCTTAACGTCACAACCAGCGGTCAACAGCGCCTTAAAATATTTACCCTGGGACTTGCCATACAAATCCATGCTAATCGCATAATTCCTATTGACGCGGTTAAATTTTTACTATAAGTTTCATTTATATTTTATTTGGGGCAGGGCGTTGACGTGACGTCTCTTCAACCCTTCCTATATCAAAATTAATTCATTTTTGACTTTTGGAGACGCCATTTCAAATTATAATATTAATTATCGTTACAACCGGTTGAAGTTTACAAAATATAATATGTGCAGCGTCGAGAGAAAAGTAATTTTCACAAGGAAATTATGTAGCAAAGCCTCGCGAGACATTTGTAAATGGTACGGCAGTATTACCATATACAGGGTGATTCAAAATTTATGTTACAGCCTTTTTATTATATAAGTACACATTCAAGATAGAGACGAATGTATAATACGAACGGTTTTTGATTTTTTAACATCTAAAATAATTTGTACATTTTTTTTTTCATATAGTTTTTTAGGATGGGTTTCGGAGGTGTTAGATTTCGAAATTCATACGTGAGCAACTTACTTCATATTTTGTTTACAAATATAACGTGAAGTTGTTTAAAATATATTATAGTGATTGGATAACGTTAATTTATTAAAAACTCTATGTTTTAATTTTTAGGAATTGCATTTTTACAGTAACCCCAGTAACCAAGTGGCTAATGTCGTCACTTATCACAGTCGTCACAGTGCTCTGTGCATTGCATTCGCGAAACCAGCTATAGAACCAAAGCTATATATAAAAAACTATGTAAAGCTATGTATATAAGCTGTATTCGTTTCAACTTTAAATCGCTCTCGATCATAGAGTTCCGAATAAATAAATGTTATTAAATTATTAAAATGTATTCAACAAATATCTTCATATTTTGTTTGCAAAAAAAAAAAAAAAAAAATAGGTTACCATTTGAAATTCAAAAGATTACCTCTAAAACTAGAAGGTATTTTACATTTTTATCTATTTTAAGTATTTATATGATAAAATGGCTGTAGTATAAATTTTGAATCGCACTGTATATCGTATACCGCGAGTGCCCAGCGCGCAGAATTAAAATGGCCAGACTAATATGTAAATATATACCATCACCCCGGTAGGTTTTAAATAATAAATCCCCGTGGGAAACTCCGTATAATACAATGTTACATAGGTACTGTACGTAATATTTAATATATATTACACGCGAAGTTCCCGTGGATTATATACGCTTTACGAATTATTGTTGTGCAACGTTTCTGCAGCATAAATACAACAATAATATTTTCGTAATATTATATAAGTAAGTTTGTTACTCTTAGGAAATTTGTAAATCAGCCGTAGTATACGAGAGAATGTCCCGATAGAAAGATCGTCAAATGATGGTCACGACCAGTATAGCATAATCACGGGGGGGGGAGGGGGGGTCGTCAAATTCCTCTAAGGTTTTTTTTTTTTTAACATTCAAGTGTTATGTACATTGTACATTATCCATATCGATTACTATGCCTGAACGCATCACGCGTATTTTCTATTTTAAAAACGATGAATTAATGCATTATACTTGCGGAATACTATGTCAGAGGCATATTTATAATTGAATATTACAAACATTAGACACCCAATAACTAAATATTTTGTTCATTAGAATCGATTTAATAGATTGACTATGCCGGCAGTCCGTAGTAACACACCAGATACCTATATCCAGAGCACCTATACATCCTACGTACCGAATGAAATTGCTGCGAAACCAAGAAGAGTAGATTATTAATTATTACTATACATCGTATAATTTGTTTGTTATTAATGTCTATTCATTATTTCTACCCGTTATCTATTAATTGATAATTAATGTTATGTTTAAATGTAAGACAATAATATTATATTTGTAAATGGACTTTTTTTCTAAACCCTACTCCCCCCTTTCATTGAAAGTAAGTCTTTGATAATAAGTTTGTAGACCGTCCTTTTATATAATTTTTAATAATTGACCGTCTCCCTATAAGACATACCTCAAATTACACTATTGATCATGAGATACTACCGCATACTCACCTATACTATGTTACTATGCTACTAGTAGCATATATTTTGCGCCAAATTCGAAATACCATAGCTGGTTGTGAAAAAAAACAAGTAATTAACATTTTTACAATATTAAAAAAAAGTAATAATAATAAAATCTGCATACCTGCCGTATACTGTTAGCGAACTGAATGCAATTCGTGTTGTGGTTACTTGTCGGGCTTAGGTGAACAATAGTCCCGCCCGTATTAATACAAAAGGGAGTTTTTTTTTAACGAGTACAGAGTACACAGTAACAATATTAATTATAATGTATAAATATCTCAGGGATTTAATATTCTCTACTTACGTAATAATAATATACTATTCAGAAAACAAGATCTATGGGTCGAACTGTTGAGAATTTATAAAAAAAATTCCAAATAAAGTACTATCGAACCGAAAGTGTGCATATTTTAAGGCACAGTAAGAACGAATCTGAGCTTTTTTATTAACCGACAAAGTTTTAGAACATCATATATACTTCGTTGTCCAGGAGAGTTCTACACGGATTCTTTGTACTATACTTGACTTGAAAATTCACGGTTTCTTATTATGTTTACAGGTATTGTTCAGTCGTAAATTTTACATTTTAGAAATTTTGTTGATCGTTTTCACTCAGCGTATTGTATTATTATTATTATATTCGGTTACTATGATCTATTTTGCCATTAATTATGTATGCAGGGTTGATAAATTTTAAATTAACTAGATAATGATAAGGGATAAATATTGTTAGAATAATTATCTAGTTATCTAGACAAAAATAAAAGATACACAACAATTTAATTACTCATAGATAAAAAAAAATGGAAATTATTCAAATTTCTTAACAGTTAGAATAAAAATACCTAATTACCTAACCATAGGTAGTTAGTATAGGTACCTAATATATTATGTGGTATACATCTGGACTTAAAAAAGGTTACATGATTAGTGTAACTTGATAATAATAATTATATTAATTTTTAAATAGTAATTTTAATGTAAAGTAGGTAAATATTTTATCTATTATTCGTCCAACACTGAAAGTTACAAGTTAGTTAAAATTGAACGGTTATCTGGATTTAATCTTTTATCTCAGCTAATGGCTCAGATTACTTATTTATCGTTTATCAGGAGAAGATAAAATATGATAACGATATTATTAATAGTATACCTACGTATCTATAAGTCATATTAAGATCTATATAGATAAAATATAATACCGATCATTTTTCACCATCGTTATCGGAGGTCTACTTGGAATAAATTATCGGTCAAACAAAAACGACTCCATCTATATCGAGTAAATAATGTAATAATTATATACGTTTATTGATAAATATTTTTTCTTTTTTATATTAGGTACAACAAATTAATATCGATACAATAAAACGAAGATTAGATTTCTGTAGTTCTGTACAATAATATTAAAGTGTATATATACAAGTATAATATAATATTATAAAAACCTAATGTCGAATTATTTCATAATAATATTATTATATAATAAACGAATAATAAGTAAGTATACAAAATGATTTACTAAACATCTCAATACTCAATCGTTTTCAAAAACGAAAAACAACAAACATTATTATAAATAGGTACTTTTTAATATTTTTATATAAGTATGGTAACTTATAACTTAAAAAAAAATAACAATAATATAATAATAAAGAAATACAATAATATTATCTCAAACGGTTCTCTTCTGTGGGTTGTCACTGAGAATTTAAAATATCTCATAAAACAAAACAAAAATATATGTAAGTATATAAATTTCAGATTTATCAAAGACGAATAGACGATATATTGACAAAAATAAAAAATTTCGGACGCAAAAAACTGACGGGATTACGCTCGAGACAAAAATTGATTTTATTTTAAAAAATATCATTGCATGTGGTGAAACAGGTGGTCGAAATAACAGGCGTTTAGGTACATAAGACTTTATACAAAAACAAGGTTGATACATTTTATATGAGACAAAAAAAAAAAAATGTTCAACATATTTAAAATTAGTGGCTAGAATTTTTTCAAGGAAGATAGAATAGGTAAGGTAGGTCAGAAGACCTGTGAAAGTTAAAAAAAAAAATTTCGACTTAAGTGATTTTGCAGAGATTATCAAAATATAGGACAAATAACCCCCGTTTTTTTCTCTGTGACATATCCCCCAGCATATTAAAAAATATTTGGGACAAAATATTGAATACCTATTCAATATTTAAAAAAAAAAAAAAAAATTATAATTTTGAATTAAATTAAACTAATATAGAACAATTACATATAAACATTAATTTATGACAAATTTAGCTGTATAATTTTTGATACATTTATATGAATACTATATGAACTGGAAGGGGGAGATTTTGTCAAAGATCATCAAATGCAAAGATTTTATCTGTTTACCAATCTATATGGTAAGAAAGGGGAGGGGGTATATCCCTTCTCCCAGTAAATACGTTGCTACTGCATGCCTACAATAATAATACAATATAACAATAACTATTACATTTTACTTTTTTTTCTTATGGGTTTTGTGTAAAAATCAACATTGCGATCAAACGCGTTTTTATTTTTCTTGAGTGACAACCCTCTTTATTGTGCGTGTGTGTCTGTTGTACATACCAATAACACTATAATCCAATCTATAAAAAAACAAAACGTCGCGTGTATACGTGAAATCAGTCGCACGAAAATATTATTTTCGTTTAAAACTTTAAATGTTTTTACACACAAGAAGTATGATTTTGTATCTATGACTATAGTATCGTTTATATAGATGGTACCGGTTTAGAGTACATTGTTATAGTATAATGCGGCCCCACGATAAATTTTTCGGTCTCTATTTATCTTGCATGTTTCTACCATTGATTATTCAATAGACCCGCGGTAAAATAAATAAGTAAATATTTGTACAATTAATGTTTTGAATGAATCTAATATTATAATTTATATTTTTATATTAATTATATTGAGGTATTTTACTATCTTACACTCTGATCATTTTGAAATAAATTTAAAAACAATATGAATAGTTCGATTTTTAGTTATAAGTGGCACGCGAAAAGAAAAAGTTTGAAAACCTCTGAATAGACAGATGGCCTACGGTATGGGAATATTTGGCTACCACTCGTGAGACGCAGTCGCTGTGGAGCGCTGGAATTGTTTGCACGAGAATCGATCGATTATAGCGCTTCATAGTGGCTGCATCCCACGGCCGATAGTCAAATATTAACATTCTTGAGCTATATCTATATTATATAATCAATGGTACCAATACATTTTCCTAATTATAACCTACCGTTCTACCAATAATTGTGGCTTGTTTGTTGTTTTATTTTTTCTTTTTACTCGTATTTTAAGTAGATCCACGGTGGAAATATTGACGTATTGCTTGTTTCATCGTCGCTAAATTCGATATTGTGTTTATTATATTTTATAATAATATGCATATTCCGTTTCGAAAATGATAGTATTGGATTACGATTTAATAATTATCGCTTCAAGCATTTCGCATAAATAACCCAACGGTCCATGTCAGTTGCTTCGTACGTGGAGACTTTTGCACGGGTAGCGAATTTCGCGATAATTTTGACTACTATACTAACATCATATAACATTGAACGGATCCGGCACGAGAAATATGCTATACCCAAGCCATAACGTCCGGGGGTATTGAATAATAATAACAATATATACCTAGTCGAACACAACCTTGACCCGAGCGACTCTGACCTAACCGTTTAGAGGTTTTCGGGTGAACAAATAGCAATAATCGTAGTCGGTGGTCTTTTGAGCACAGTAAATATGTAGGTGCGAAAAACTATACGGAATCGGCCCTCTGATCGTGGACATGTGGGATGAAAAAAGCCTTAAACCGGTACCATTAATCGTTATTATAATGTATAATATTCTATTCCGTACACGCTCGAGAAACGAAAACTTTTTCCGGGTTGCTTCTTGGTCGCCGTACAGTTACACGAGAAAAAAAAAAAAACTTTCGGAGAAATATTATAATATTACGCAGAGAAAGTTTTCGCTATACCGTTGTTCGCCGTATAAAATATGCGACTCGTACCATCAAAATAATACCATTATTTAATTAAAATCATATATAGATAACGAATATTACAAGACGGATTTGCCATCATTTTCTACACACTATTATTATATTATATTATTTATTGATTTTTGTGATATGTAAATAATTATTATCGGTATACGATTAAATTTCTAACACCTTAATATTCAAGTTGCCGCGATAACTTCTCGTCATATTACTGTACGAAAACGATGTAGGTAATAACGGACTCGAAACAATGCAATATTCGTGAATAAGCAATAATATTAGCAAGGCTGAACGAGTTAAAGAGTTAATTTCCGACATAAAAGTTAAGTCACCGTATCGTTTAACTTAGCTTTTAACCTTTGATTTTGGTTTTTATCAGTTTGATTTTTAATATAATTATTTTTCATTTTTTATTTTTTCGTAGAAACTTGATAAATAACGAATTAAATTTGAATTTACATTACGGTAAGATTACATTGCGTGTAGCTCAGAGTTAAAAAAAAAAATGGTATATAGATACTTTGATATTTTCTGAAAAACTCCCTCGTGTTTTACCACATTGATCACACTTTTTTTCAAAATAATTACAAACTCTAGGTTCAATCGTTTTCACTGTGACAATAGACAAATAAGTTTATTGACATTTAAAAAGTAAATTAAACCGTCGAAATAACTTTTAAGTTAATTGTTTTCTATTTACCTAACTTAATCGAGTACAAATTATTTATTAACTTGTACAGCCTTGAACGTTATGTGGGTCGGGTACGTTTTCGTCGTTTACAAACAAGTATTTTTGATCAGGTAGTATCGCTAGTAGAAAAACGATAAGTGGGAATTGTAGGCTACAACGGCCTGCAATTATATCAACGATAAAAAAAAAAAAAAAAATCCGCCACGCTCAAACCTGATGGTATTGTTCTAGGGAAGTTAGTGCCGTCCTAAGCACATATCGAAAACCTTTAGTAGTAGGTAGTTGAAAAACCATGTCGAGTAAAAATAATAGAGGCGGATAGTGGAAAATGCCAAGTCGGATAAGAGGTCATATTTTGAAGTAGACAATTCGCCTGGCGGGGCGGTAATGACACGATGCATAAAGCATTATACGAAATTATGGTATTTTTTATTATGATATTTTGAAAGGGAACGGTTGGTCAAATTGAAATATTCCGTCCGGTCGCCTATCGATTTTTTGACAACCAGCAACCATACCTATCGGTTTTCGATCTGTTTTAATGATTTCTGTAAGTATTAAAACGCAGCGGGGGAAAAGTCCAAGTCGTTATCGTGTTTTCATTGGTGTACTGATAGTATTATTGTTTCGGTTGGTCGAATAAATCGTTACCTAATTGTTTTACAGTTTTATATAATACGCTCAGATCATATATGTTATTCGAGATTACCTACTGCGTTTTAACGTCATTAAAAATGTCGATCATCGCCGCGAGACAAGGGGGGGGGGGATAGAGCAAACGAAAAACGATTTATTCAACATAATAATGACATCTTCGTTTGAACGGGTTTTTAACGACCGAGAGGAAAACAAGAAGGAATTTGAAATAAAGTGGTACTTTTACATCATATATATAATATATCATATAGGTATTATTTCTCCCGGAAAATTTCTTGGATTCTGCGAATCAAAAGTAATAGGTACACATCGTATATTATATGTGTTATAAATATTAACAATAAATGAATAATAAGTACCTACTACATTTTTACGGGGAAATTTGTATTTTCTTTACTTCGGCGATTAAAAAGTTTTTACGGTTTATTCGTTTTGGTCGTCCCGTGATTTTAAACTAAGTTTGCCGAATCGCCAAAAACGTTGTCTTTGCATTGTGCAAATGTTGGTTTAGTTCGGAGTGGCGGTCGGGGAATCATTTTTTTAGCATCCACTCGGAACCGTTCCAAACTTTGAATACTATCGGAACAATAAACCGCGGTCGTTTCGATTTTTAAAAAATAAACACAAAGCCATAGGTATAAAAAAAAAAAACAATAACATAAAAATATCATAGAGACGACAATTTCATTTTTTTCCTGCAATAAAAGTAACGATAACAAAACCGGTAATTGAAAAAAGGAAAACAGTTAACATACGTAGAAAAATCGACAGAAAACGAAAAGGACATGCGTGAAAAATTACCGGCGTACACGGATTATTAAATCGAGTTTTGAATGTTCACGCGTAGCGAACTTTGGGCCGATCGATTTGACTTATAATTTTTATAATATTTATTATTTACTATGTACAACGACAAATTATTATTTTATATAATCGAAATTAATTTTTTTTCTCTTTTTTCGAATAGTTTTCGTTGACATCATGTTGTTTTTTTTTCCAATTATGTTTATAACTTTTTTTTAAACAGTTTTTACAATATTTTAAAACGAACAACGACAACGTATTTATTATATTAATATGGGTATAATATATTATGCTGTCGAATCGTGTTAATTATGTACATTCCGGCGTGGCGGCGGTGGCCGTGGTTGTTGACGTGCGTTCGCCGGCGGGTACTACAGGTCTCTGGCAGTGAAGATGAGCAAAAATGGTACGATCATGGCGCTGACGATCGGCGGACATAGCGGGATGCTGCCCTGGCCGTGGTGCATGGCGGCTGGATGTTCACCTGAAAACGATAAAAAAACGAAAACCATGTCTGTTAATACCACGAAACTGATAATATTATAATCTTGCTATACGGGGTGATCAATCTATCGTAAGACACTCATTATTATCTCGGAAAGTGTTAACTTTTTTTCAAAATTTGTTTTAAAGAACATTTGAAAAACAAGCTGTTCTAAAATGTAACATTTACATTATTTTTGTCACTCTAATTGTCGGGGGTGAAACGACTACCTACTTTTGATTTTCAAATGGCAACCTATATTAAAAATTCCATAAATAGGTGAAGTAGTAAATTATGTATAAATTGAAGTATAAATTTTAGTGTTTAAATTTGTAATTTCGGTCTATCCGTCGACGAGATATTCCACTTTTAAGTTTGAGCCGGAGAATGAGTAGTGGAGCATCGTTTGTGTGGCGGCACAGCAAGCGGAGTTTTAAGAATGTACCACTATTCTCCCCTTACCCAAACTTAAAAGTGTAATATCTCGTCAACGGACTAACGGAAATTAAAAATTTATTTTAACTACTATTTTATCTATTTATGGAATTTTTAATATAGATTGCCATTTGAAAATCAAAAGTAGATCGTACTTTCACCCTAAAAAATTAGGGTGACAAAAAACATAAATGTAAAATTGCAAAGCTGCTTATTTCTAAAATTGTCTATAAAACAAATGTCAAAAAAAGTTAATACTTCCCGAGATAATGAGTGTCTTATACCAGATTGATTACCCTGTATAATATAATGCGAAAGTTCGTTTGGATGGACGGACGGATGTTACACCTTCACACTAAAACTATACTGAACCGATTGAACAGAAAGTTGCATAAAATATGTAGTTCTACATGTAGGAATAGTATAATATAGGCTATGTTTTAAATGGATACGGGATGTTTGGTATTTTTGGTACGAAAATAAAATTATTTCTGTTGATTTATGGGTTGCATACTTGTTATTAATTGTATATTATAATTGGATAAAATACGAATCGAGAAAAGAAATTCGGGGGTAGCGACTGGTAGTTTTGTTTTGTTTAGTTCTGGTTCCGATTTGTGTATTTAAAATGTTTTTAATACGTGGTTCCGGTTTCCGATATTTTAAGCGTTTTTCTAGGGTTCCAGAACCGTTTTTTTTCTGTTCGGTCCCAGTCCCCAACTGATCATTCGAAAACATATACTATGCAATTTATTACCCTCCTTTCGTCTTCCAGTCTAAACTTTAAACTGCTATAACTCATAAACTTTTAATCTGATATTTGTATTATGCATATTTAAATGTCTAGACAAATATTTATTTTTTTCAAATCTGTGTTCAAAAGGGGAGGGTTTCAATTTGAAAAACAAAAGAATGTACGTATATACGGGGTAGGGGTAAAAATTTAAAACGGTTTTAAAATAAAGTTTAACCGATACCATAATGATGAAAAAAAAAAACAGAAATCAAATTCGCTTAAAAACCTTCGAGAAAATTGATAGTTCATGATAAAAAAAAATCACCCTGTATTGAATGCAGACGCCCAGGTGGTGGTTTTAGAAGAGGAGAGGGTCTAGGGGTTCTGGATTCCAAGACTCCAAGTTTAGACTAGAAATAGTAGATTTTGTGTTATAGTTTTTAAATTAAACATAAACATTGTTGTTGGTTAAAATATAGACACCTAAATTCATGTAGATAAGTAAAGAAATATTAGGTGTGCAAATGAACTAAAATAAATTAATAAATATTCGGTAAATATTTTTTGTATGTTAAATATATTTTAAGTTGATATCAAAGGACTATCACCCAGAAAAAAAAAAATTAAAAAACCGCTACTGTAGACTACCGAAACGGATCCGAAATTCCGGCGTAGACGGATGTGTCAAAAACAAAAAAGGACAAGTTATGTATAATATTCATAAAACTTATCATGCAATAGATTATTTATACGAGTGAGTAATAATTTATTGTGACTACAGTGTTTAGTTTATATATTTTTATGATATAAATATATACACCAAAATGTTCGGTATAAATTGAGTTTTAGTTATACGGAAACAAATAGAAGAGTTTAGAGGGGCGGTGACACGCACGGCTCGTTTCGACATCAGTGATTTAAGTCCTAAAAAAGAGAAAACAAAAAACCATTCTCGAAGCATGTACACAAAAAAAATAAAAATAAAAATAGAAACACATCGTGGTGACATATACTGCAATCGATATTTTTCGACGATTTCATTATACAGTGTGTTTCACTCAAATGACACTGTGATATTTCATCCGGGTGAATGTATACACTGAAATAGAGTTTTTTTTTTCTTTTTTAGCAACATAGCGGAAGGATAACGAAAAACACTTTTCGTTTCTATTGTCAAAATTATAACACTCGTGGTGCTCAAAAAACTTTCATTACCTTATATGGCGATAGATATTTTTAACACCACATTCGTGCAAAATATATTTAAAATATGATTCTTACTACTCGTTAAAAAAAAAAAAAAAAATCGAAAATTAAACTCACGACATTTCTTCAATTTTGGTTTTGAAATTGGTCTACTGCTTTATGAAGAAACAATGATTATAAGTAAAAATAAAATTACACGCACAACCAATACGTAAGTTTTATATTTTTTGACAAATCGAGTCAAAAATGATATTTTTTTAACAAATTCAAACGATGGCTACACAGCCATCATTGTATCTTGCGTAATGTTTGTCATAGACAAAAAAAGTAATAGTCAAAGTAGCTTGAAAACATTTGAATAAGTTTTGAAAATCAGCTCAATATGTGTATTTCGGTACCCCTACGAATTCCTCTTCAAAGAACCCTAGGTATTTAAATTTAAGCACATGAAATATTTCGTTGTTCATTACTATATTTGAATGAAACAGTGTACACTGAATAAAGATCGAATTTTAGATTCTGAGCGCAACGATTAATGTATTGGTTTTATTTGTTTTGTGTCTGTGAAAACTTTTCTACCAAAAATCATGCTCCAATCAAAAACCATAAGATAGATTTTTTCTTAGCATTTCTGACCTAGTTATTACGTATTGGGGAGGTAATTTTTTAAATTTCCTTGTAATTTTCTTAGTAAAATTGGGATAAAACTTTTTAGACAAATCGGGAACGTTTACGGTAATTAAAAGGTCATTATTTTCGAGTATGTTATTTTATAACAGTTTTATAACAGAATTTTTCCGTCAAAATGAACGTGTAGCATCTTTTATGAACGCGATTTTCATCTAGTTGTGTATATTAGGTGTATCGGGTGGTCGTTTTTATGATTTTCTCAGTAGTTTTATTAATAGATGTAGAGAAATGCGACTAATATAATACTCTGTTACTCAGAGTAGTGTTTCGCTAGCGACGGCTAATCGTTGCGTTATTAATTAAATTATCCTTTATATCGTTCCTCCAAGTTCCTTCAAAAGACAGTGGCACACCCATCGGCTGCAGTATCAGCATTTTTTTTTTTTTTTTTCTACCGGTGTTATTAAGTACCATAACAATGGCCGCTCAATATAATATTATGCATGGCGGTTTCGTTGTAATAACAATAATAATGTATCACGCGAACCGAACCATTCTTCGCGCGGGTTTTCGACGGTATTTCGGCGTCCCCGGCCAACCGCCGCCGCCGCCGTCGCCGATTGTGATTAATAATAATAATATAGTAAACGCATTAACAATGAGATTGAACCGCACCGGTGACGGTGGATTACTCCGGGACCGTATATCGTCGTCACTCGTCGTATACTTGATAACAATACAACATAATAATAACAATATTATCATTATCATTATTATTACTATTATTATTACAATAACCTGTAACGCCGCCGCGGCCGAGTCGAGTGTGTGTATATACGGAACTGGGATGCATATTAATAAACGCGTATTTCGAGGGGCACGACGACTGACGACGACGAGTCCATTATCACATTATTATAATTTACTATACTTAACGTATGTCTGTACGCGACGATCGATCATTGCTAAATAAAAATAACTACGTTTTCGTTCCGAAAGTACCAACAACTTTATGTCAGTCTTTAGGGGCATGCGTTTTGAAAAACTGATTCACGGTAAACACGGTCCCGTTCATCTGATTTCGTATGCAGATTTTCAGACTTCTGCGTCCGATAGATTCGGCTGTGAATCGCACATAGACAAACGGGCATTTACTTTTATTACTATTCAGAAGATTATAATATTATTATTTTCATTAATACCGTATTACGGGGTAAGTAAATTTAACACGCTTAAAATCCAATCACTTGGCTTCCATTCGATTCTTTTTCGTCTGTCATTATCTCATGAAAATTAGATGGCTTATACCCACGCGACCACTACGTCTTCGTGTCTCCAATTTTTCATTTATACTCCTACACGTACTCTCGTTTTATCTCTCGTTTTCTTTCGCTTCATCTTACCACACCTTCACGACGTCTCTTATTTCTTCTTACCTCGACCAATATCGTATCAAATAATTATCTCGCGTATCGATGGCGTGTCATTTGGGTTCGGAAACTAAGTAAAACTGTTGTCACTGTCATCGAGAGAGAATAACTGACATACTAACCTGCAACTGGGTCGTTATTGAGATTTTCGATTTATTTCTGGTCCATCCGTGTTTTACTCTCACACACGGCTGGCAGTTATATTTTTATTCTCTACCGCTAACGTCTAAAATCTGTATTCCCATTCTCATATACTACAGTGCGTATTTATGTATTCTGTGCGTTCAGGTTTTGTTTTTTGCGGTCTCGCACGTTTCAGTATTAGCGTATTTGAACTGTCTAATTCTTTCGACGGCGAAACAACCGTCAAAAAGGATAACGCCGCGTAGTAGTTAGTATAAAAACAGGACCCATCATGTATAGGTGCGTTTTTTTAAAATAATTTAAGGGCCACTAACCGTTTAATATATGAACCCTGACAGTGGCTGAATTTGCATTTGACGGATCGCAGGAGTAGTAGCCGGTATCCGAAGACGACGCCTTTTGAATTAATAATCTGCTGCTGGTGGTCGACCCTTTTTCCGTTACCAGGCTTATTCCGCCTCGCGGAGAATCGAAATTTATGGGCTGTGAACCGCACGCACACGCACATAGAAAAATAAAAAAAAACCATGTAGCAAAATGTATCATTTCCAGAAACCGAATCCGAAAAAGGACCACCATTCTTCTTAGTCAATGTTGTCGAAAATAGAACGTATAAATTGTTCCGCTCACTTGTTTCTCGTGCGTCCATCCGACGGTCGGAGGAGGTTCCGGGGCGAACTGCACCAAGCAGGTGAGGTTTATCGTGCTACCCTGATCAATGTACAGCTCCGGACCGCCTAGTATTTCAGTGGTGGGCTCTGAAAGGAAAAACAATTGTTTTAATGGTGTAAAAAAATAAATAAATAAATAAAAACCCAACGACATTGCGTATTCCGATAAACAAACCCCGTAGTTGGATTCGATTATTTTATGCTACGGTTGTGTGGTGTTGCATTATTAAATGCGATGAAAAGTAAACTTTAAGTATAATATTGCTCGTAATAATTAATTTAGTAATACAAAACAGTTATTTGCATGAGTTGTTACTATGAAATTGTAAAATATCGATATAATACCAACTATTGTATCACGCGTCTTTTTTTATAAGACGGGCAATTATAATTGTACAAAACTATAAATGTTATTTGTAACTTTGGTGGCGTAGAATTTGGTAATGCCGTCTCTACGAGCAGTGGCGGTCATGTATTTTATATACCAATTATAGTGATTACAGGGGGAAAAAATCCAAAAACCAAATTCATTTAAAATCCCCTGAGAAAATCGCTGGCTCGAGATAAATGTATCACTCTGTATATGTATCGCGTGTCGAACATTGAACAAGTTTCAACTGTAATATTCTATTATTTTACTGTTCATCTCTTCGGTTTGAATAATAATAATGTTATTATTATATTACCGGAATCGCACGCGTATACACTCTACGGAGCGTACAACGATGTCGGTTGATCGGCACAATAACAGCTGCTCAATTATAAATTCAGAATATAATTAATTTTGTTTTTTCGAGGGTTAGTTTTAAGCGAACAGGCGATAATATTTAGTAAACAGAGGACATACTCGTTTACACCATAATCAGGTACAATAATATTTATTGTTTCAATAACAGTAAATTAATTTTGCGCGAGAAAACCACGTGTCATGGTAATGTCTAAAATCGAAACATATTAACGGGTCGTAATTCCGTCGATATATCATTATATTTTAAAAATTATATATTTTTTTTTTTTTAAACGTTTTACTTATAACTCATTGATTATCTATGAAGATTTTGGTAAATTTGTTTGATTTTTTTCAGCCAATAAACGTGATCTTATTTAACCAATTTTACTCCTATTCCTTATACCTTCAATAATTATAATAATACATTTTGAATATATTCAAATGGAACCGCCTCTCCTCTTTCAAAACTGATTCTAAAACAACAATATTTTTCTAAAAACGATATCAGCCATACCATTAAAATGACGAATACGCTGTTTACGAGAGTTACACCAGTTTACGATGAATACCGGACGACTTTAGGGAACGGTAATAAATCGCATATTCAATTTTAGATAATGATCCTAATATTCCTCCGGTTTAAATATTGAACTGTTATAACTAGATACACTAGGTATATCTGATATGAAGTGTTATGGATATCACAGTTTTTTTTTTTTTTCAGAAAAATAGGTAGATTCTCTTTTTGAGTTTGAAAAGAAAAGATTGCTATTTAAACATCAAAAGTCGACGTGCGTTTTTGTTGTTTTTGATGTACGGAATGAGGATAAACATTTTGAGTATTTCGTGAATGACGATCATTCAATATTGTTCTACATAGGAACTGGCTAAATTAATTTTATTGAAATCTTCGTAGATAATCGGCTAAAACGTGATAAAAAAACACGGTGTTTACATAATATTGTTACGACGTGTACCTACGTCAGTTTTATACAAGCATAGAGACGACGGTATTTTTCGTTAAATTTCGCGGTCAAAATAAATGTATTGCCGTCGTACATTGTTTCGAGATGCATTTTTGCCGTATCGATTTTATGCGACTTGCATATAATATGTATAGGTACTTAAAAACCTCAACGCGTCTTATTCGGAAAACTTAATAACCAACCGTTGGTCCAAACCTTCAGATTGCAGAATGCTTCAAAGAAGTTAGTTTCCTAATGTAAAATCTAAAACCTAGGTTCTAATCAATGAAAAACCACGATGGATTGCGTATTTACGGTCATGAAACTACCCACGGCTTTGGTCGAACTCGGATAGAGTCTGTAAATATGCAACCGGACTATTTGCGGTTAACGGTAAAGGCTGCTACATTTGTGGATTGTGAAGTCTCGTTTACATTAGGACAACGGAAGTTTAATTGTAGCATTAGGTTTAGTTTATTTTTTTTAAACACAGCAGACACAGAGATGCGAAATAATTCCTGCGAGACAATGTGATATAACACGCGGGAGAATAAAATTCGTAACGCCCGTGTCGGAGTCGCAGTATTTTTCTATTAAAAAACTGTCACACTCGGTTCAGAACGGTAACTATTATACCTGCGCTGTTTCGTATATAAGAAACCCCGTTACCGTATACCTATATAATATTATACCAGGTACCTATATATATCAACATTTTTTTCTTTTTTACTACCAACCTATCGTAATTTTCATCGTGAGAACATTGAAAAAATAACACTCGGGCCGGAGTGCCTATAATATACGATATTTTGTATTATTTTTACGGCGGTGTACGTGTTATAGTTCGGTCGTAGTTATAGACATAGCGTATTTTCTATATCTATACTATACAAAAGGGGAAAAATATAATGAGGCGAAAATACAAGTAAAAAATAATTATTTTTTCGAACTCTCGGGCTTCTCGGCTTTCGGAAAACTATACGTAAACAATTTTTTTTTTTTTTTTTTTATCTCGACTTAATAAGACTGTACGAAAGTTGATGTATACTTTTTGTTTTGATGGCACGATCCAATTTACAATAATATGCAGTGTATAAAATAAGAGTAAGGTACAATCGAAAATGTAGTTTTGTAGTTTATTAATTGTTGTGCTACGTAATTTTTTGTTTATTTATTCTGAATTAAAGAAACGTTGTTCTATTATATTGTATTGTACAATAGTGCAGTGTATATAACGTTTGAGTCGTAAGAACGACAACGCTCTCTCTCTCTCTCTCTCTCCGCTTATAAAATATTTTTGTTTTCAAGATATAACTCGATTTTCATTTAATTTAATACATATATATATATATTTTTTTTTTGCCCAAAGCGATTCACAATGTATTGGACATTTTTTCGCTGCAATTGTCCGCGCAAACACAATAAAAAGGCCGAAGTCACCACGATGTCAACGTCACGAAACTTTTGTTAAATGATAACGACGAACTTTTAATAATAATATTATAATACAATTCAAAAACATACACACACACACACACATACACACACACACACATCTACACCTACATATATATATACAGGGCGATTTTATGTTATCATGATCCAGCGATTATCTACAAGGATTTGAGTAAAACATTGATTTTTTCACAGCCACTATGTAACTGGTATACAATATTTTCAAAACGTTTTCCTTTCTCTGTACACCATAAATAGTCAATGTTTAATTTTCAATCAATGCTTTTCAAACTAGACCAAGAAAAAATATTTTTCTACAAATTCTGATATCCATAACTCTAATATCGATCAAATCATTTGCGAGTTATACCAGGGTTATTAAATGTTATGCATATCAACATTTGTAAAAAAGTATTTACTTTGTAATTATATCCTATGATTTCTCAAATTCTCCCCTTAAACAGTGGCCTATCCTTGAATAAACACCCGTAGTATACCGAGTTTTTGTTATTAGATTCTGTATAGAAAAAATCATCAGTTCTAAAATTATATGTTTTTTTTCGGAAAACCCTTTTGCGGTAAGCAAAAACGATCCGATTTTTTCACGCCGTTTATTTTAAATTTTGCAGACTTTTTACTTTATGGTATTATATTATAGTTTTGATTGCATAACAACAAGTCAAAATCCAATTTGCCGCGATGTAGGAATTTTTCCTCTTTCCGACGGGGAAAAAAATGATTGTGATCGAAACACTCTACGAGGCATGAGAGTTTTCTTGTAAACATTTTTTGAGTAAAACACTCTTTAAAAAAAACCCCCTCAATATAAAAATCAAAACTGATTGAACAATTTGTCAACATTTATGAAGACTCGTTCATTTTAATTGAGCATAATTTGTAAAATTCCAGGAGTAAAACGACTTATTTTAAACGGCACAATATTTAACTCCCAAATCAATTTGTACGTATAGTAATATTATGTAAAAGGACGCGTTAACCGTTTTTGTAACCAACAATTCAATATTTCCGTCCAGAGTTCAACAATAAATACACGATTACGATTCCGTTGTATTACAGTGTTGTACAGATATTGTTTTTATGACTGGTTTTCAATACGCTGAACCATAATATAAAAATCTTTATTGAGAACGCAAAATGCAATATTGTGAAACGAACCTATTACGCCTATTGTTAACCCTATACTTACCGTACTTTAACGGTTCGACCGAATGAGTATTTTAAACACGGCCATATTTAGAGCAGACAATTACAAGCTCTGGAAATTTATTAAATACTGTATAATGTATTATAGTTCTATTCGGTTCTGAAACTTGAGTTTTATTTTTCTCTCTCGATTTTTTGGGCTTCTTACAGTTGCGCGAAAAAATACATAAAGCTTAAGTTTCAGAACCCAAATAGAACTATATTACACTATACAGTATTTAATACATTTGTAAAGCTTGTAATTGTCTGCTCTAAATATGGTTGTGTTTAAAATACGTTGTGAATCGCGGTTTTTCAAGAACCAAATAAACGCTATGAAATAAATTGTTTTATTGTTTGCAATGACTTATCGTTGCTTTTGGTTTATTATAAACCGATGATATATTATCTAACCGACCGGAATACTTGTCACTTTTCACCGGGTGATAAGAAAAAATAAATAAAACGGCCATAAAATCGAGATCTCTAAGTATATCAACTCTGTAATATAATAATGCCGTCAAAGCTCTAAACTTGATACTGCTCTAAGTGTAGATCTAAAGCCTAAACCCTTTAGTGATTGAGAAACCACGTCGAGTAAAAATAAAGGTATTGTTAGAATACAGTAGCCACGTTGGTTAAGTCATATTTTGATATAAAAACGTCAATAATCTTGTTTTTCACGGTTCAGAATTGTAATTGTTGGTTAGTATTAAATTCATACCGATGTGTAGTGAATTTACACATTAACAATTGATACTTTTTTGAGGTTTTATTTCTCATAGCCCGGGTATAAGTGATATTCGCCCTCATCGACCGAACTTAATTTTACCACGTACAATAGTATACTATAAGTGTTAAGTATTTCCTGTTCCTATTTCAACCAATTGCTTTTGGTTGAAATATTATTTTCCTGGTATAATCTATTTAATAAAAAGGGTCTTTTTTTTTTTCTAAATATAGGTATATACATAAATATGTATATGAAAAAAGAAAGTAATTAATTCATATCTCCAAACGTGTCGGTTCGGATTAAAAAAAGAGAAAACATCCGGGTATACTTTGCACGTAGAATTAGCCACATACGTGGGCTTATGGAACGGGCGCATTGTCATTTTAAATCTGAAAGCGATGAATCATCGTGTTCTAGAATTAATTATGATGGATATTATATCATATTTCCTCTTATTAAAAATTGAATAAACGTACAAAATTAACTGACACGAGATTTTTAACATTCGACTTTTTTTCGCGTCAGAAATAAAAAACTCGCCGTCAACCAATTATCTGTATAGTCATTTTTAGTAGTAAACGACGGATAGTGAAATAGGTACACTTTAAAATATTTTTAAGAGACATATTTTTACTGCTATTATTATTATTATTTTTATATATCTACGAATAATATTTATTGATTTCCTACGAAATTTTCACTGAAAACGGTTTTATATGATTTGATGTTAGTTGTTTAAAATATTTTTTTTACTTAGAATTAAAGCTTTAAAGATTTAAAAAAGGTTCTGAATTTAAGAAGATTTACATTGAATAATTTTTTTTTTTTTTGGCATATGACTATCAGAAAAGATGGTTACTTTCATTTACATACGTAATAATTAATACGAGAAAAAAAAGATTTTAATCCACTCAGCGCCGATTTTATTTATAGTTTCAGTTTTTCATTTCCGCGTAGTTACCTACAATACATTAGTAATTTCATTCACTAACGTAATTGGAATGCATTTGAAAATAATACAAAGGTACCAACGTAGAATATAAGTTCTGAACAGTAACAATAAAAAAAAAAAGAATATAACAAAGAAAATAGCAGCTTTTTACAAAATTATCAATGGAGATCCGAGTACACGATGGACTATCTTCTCCAATGGGTCGCGAGAGTGCCATTATAGCGGTGCGAAGCAAAAAATAGGATAATTTATAGGCGGTGCAAATCCAACGTGTAAAATATTATACACTACTCGGAAATCACGCGTCTATACATTAGGTATTTTATAATTTAATAATTTTAATTTGCGTATTTTGTAACTATTTATCAAGGACGTACAACGTTTCAAAAAAACTAAAAAAAATTTCAAACAAATAAAAATAACAATATTTTTGGCATAACAATGAAATTTTTAAACGGCACATTTTCGTTTGTTGATTAGTGATCACGTTTAATAACTTCAACGTATAACAGAGTTTGGTTATAATATATATAATTATTTGGTAAATAAATATTACTATTTTTCTAAAATATTACAAACTAGCTATCCTGCCCGACGTTACCCGTGCCAAAAAAATGAGTAAGTAATAAAAACGTTATCCACCTGGATTCCCAGTTTCAATCCCCGTCATTATCACTGCATTTACGGTTGTTAAACTTAAATTTTTAAAAATGTATTTTCTTTTCAAACCTATGTGAATTAGTTATATGGCTAATAAACAATGAAAAATTTAGCTTATAAACACTGTGGTAACGTAGTCTGGTACCGTGGTAACGTAATGTTAATAAAACCAAAACTAAGAAAAATAAAATTATAAATGTGTTCGAGCTCGAACCTCAGACCGTTGGGATGGAACATATAATGTGAATGCCATTACGCTAACGTAATATACAATGAAAGATTTTAGTTAGGGGCCCTTAACTTTTTTTCTACCGAACGGATCAAAGATTTCAATAGCTAAAAAACTTGCTCATCCGATCGTTTCCCCCTGGATTTCCTGTTTCAATCCTCGACTGTAATTCATTTTCTTTCATTTTCTTTTTAAACTTATGTGTTTTATATGGTTATTAAACACCTATAAATTATTATTTTGTATCCAGCCCAAAGTAGGTACTGTAGGTCTACTACTTCTACTGTTTAGATCGAGGATTATAAAAGCTTTGAACCTTCTCTGGACAACTCGAACCATTTCGCAAACATTTAACAGTAGAACTGAACGTCAATTATCGAATTATTTTTGTGGATTTACGGGTTACCTTGGCGATACGGATGGAATAAAAAAAAGTATTAAGATTTTCATACGAAAATACCATACAAATTTACAACTTTTCCCGTTGGGTTTTCCTAAAATTTTTTTTCATATTAACATTTTCCTGACAATTATGAACACACCAAAAAAAAAAAAAAAATCAGTCAAATCGGCCCATCCGGTTTCAAGTTGTGCACTTCCTAACAAATATAAATATTTATTCTTTATATATATATATATGGAAGGTATTTACAAAAAAAATTACTATACATATCAGTTTTATTTTTGTTGATTTCTGGGTTACCTTGGCTACGAAGTACGAGAGGAAAAAACCAGACTGTATTATTATTATAGTATTATATCCTTACTTGTTTATCAAGCCCCTTGAGAACCATATTTTGATTGCAACGATTTATCAGATTTAACTGTTTTCAGTATATAAACTAAATTATTCTATAGTATCCTTTATACACCTCCTCAACTTTTGGAAGCTCAGCCAATTGGTTTTCGTCGTCAAATATTTAATTTATTTTTTCAGAATTTATTTGTATATGCATTTAATTACAATTTATAATATTAAACTAATCGAAATCCGTTAAAGGCATTGCCATTCGTTAAATAATAAGAACGAAACAACACTTATGTAGATTTTTTTTTATGGGCCAACTACATTTTTATTTTTAAATTTTTAATACGGATTTTGTTTCATTTTAAGTAATTTTCGCAATAGTTTTTCAGTACTCCGAAATCCAAAATCTAATAATAATATACCCAGGTACACGATAAACGGTGGCCCGTGTGAAAAATGTAATTTATACCGGCGGAAATGTAGGTGCGTAGTGATATAAATTTTCAACGCGTAAGCCGATTAATTTTTTTAATTTGTATTCGTTATACGGATACTAAATCGCGAATAAAACAGACGAGCCGCAACATCAGATACGCGATTTATTGTTAACGATCCCGTGCTCTCCGGTTTTAGGTTTTATTATAGCTACTATAATAACGGTAGGTATACCTATACATGATTAATATTACATACCTGTATTGTACTTACATAAACGCGTAATTAAAATATAAATCGTCCGCGGGCAAAACGATCGCGATAATAAAAAAATAATAACGACGTTTTATCCAAGCCGGACATACGTTTAAAACCGCCGCGGATTTCGAACCGCGGTTAGGTTAGAAACATCGGCGCAGCGCGTTATTAAAGTCGGTGGTGCGGTGCCGCCCGCGAACCAGTCGACTTATTTTTTTATCGCCTTTTGTTGTTTCCACAAATATAAAGTATTTTACCATATATCTGTGGTTGTTTCGCACTCGCCGCGGTAATCGCCTCCGTCTCGAGATAAAATTAAAGATTACAATCTCTTAACCCCCTTTCCCCAACTCTCTTTTTGCATACGCGTTGAACTTCCAAAACACTCGAAACATAATAATAATAATAATAATAACAATAATATATTATACAAAGTCACTTTTATTGTGTTGGCTCCGCCACGCTCGTTTATCCGCGGAGCTGTGTGTTTTCAATTATCGTTATTATTGTTGTTTCGTTTCGTTTTTTTTTTTTTTTTATGTTCTAGTCACGCAACGGCCGCGTATAAATTAAAACGCGCTTTTCGACGTCGTATCCTATCAACTCCGCGCGGCCATACAGCATATTATTATATTGTTATTGTGGTGACGTTGAGAATTCTCCGCCCGAAAATATTTCACAAACACCCGCGAAAAGCCTCGAAATCCTCATGTGGATTTCCATTTACCCGAGTCGGACGGAAAGGAACACCGAGATCGATCAGGAGTGCGAATTCAGGCGGACTTTAGACGGAGGAATGGAGTGGCGTTATGTCGAATACCCGTAAAACTTCGTGTGATTCGTAAATATTGCATATACTTGTCTATTTACTAATTTGTCTTCATTGTTAATAGCTAATTGCGTTTTCCATTCGTGTACACTGCACGCAACTAGTATTAGCGCAATTGTTCATGAAATTGGAGTTCAAGTATAGATTACAATATACAAAGTATTATTATCAAATAGAATTCACACAGTCGCAGATAGGAATGCACTACACCGTCATTTGAAATTTACGTTACCTTCGTATCGGCGGTCGCAGATGATAGGTAAAAAGTGTACATCAGCTAGTGTAAACGAGTCACCGGAAATTTCGGCCTACTAAGTCTGACGTTAAGTTCGCCACTGTGCATTTGAATATATTATTATGCATTTGTATAGATACCGTCAAGCGCGTTTTTACTTTTAACGTGATCAAGAAACACGGCAGTATTTCGGTCAAATACGAAATTTATATAAGCTACGAAAGATCTTTACTCACCGTGAGATAATATAACCTTAAATTTAATCCCCGATCAATTATTATGCTCGAGATGAGTCGAGTTTCTTTTTGCGCCAATAAGTTCGGTAAAACATGATTTATAAATCACGGTTACAATAAAGTTATAAACTTTGAGACCGCGTTCGCGTATACTACGCGCACAAAATAAATAATCGTATAAATTATTGCCGCGAGAAAGTTTAAAATTATTTATTTTTTTTCTCTCGATCTATTGGTACGGGAAAAAAAAAACGATCTGACATAAATATTTCCCGGGATGAATGTTAATAACAATATGGTAAAATCACGGACTTAGAATGTTCTAGAAACGACAGGGCGGGAGGGTGCCAAAAAGCTTAAATTGAATTGTTCGGATTATTATTAGAAGAATAATTTAAACAAAATATAATTTCCTTTTACTAATCTACAGTCTCCATTCACTTCCCGTAATACTAATGGATTATAGTTACGTTCAGTAATATCATTAATACGCATTAAACGTTTCAATTGAACCAGAAATGTCAATATGGGCAATGGCCCGAGTGGCCTTCTACTCTATACCATTGTTGTTGGATAATCGGTTTATACGAAATTTAAACGTAATAAAAAAAAAAAAAAAATCTGACGGCTAAAATAAACAATAAATGTAAATCGAATTATAATAATAATAATAATAATAATGAAAAAAAAATTAATAAGACTATAATATAGAACCAAACGGAAATAATAATAATAAAAACAAAATGTATTAAATCATGAACCATCAAACTCGCGTATTATGACGATGTTATGCACGGTAACATTTTTGATAAAAAAAAAAAAAACACGTAGGAGAGACCGTCATAAAAATAAAAACCGTACGCGTTACTATAGATTAACTCGTAAGCTAACTGTACGGCGTTTACGGTGAAATATTTTTTCCTGTTGGCATAAAAGCATCCACGCGTATTATATACGAGTATTCGACCGTTTAAATTATAAAGACCGTATGTATTTTTAGTTTTTCACGCGCGAATATGCATCATAAAAATGTATTGAAAAAAGAAAAAAGACCGACAAACTTTGCGCGATGGGTAGGCCACTGTTGTAGATAGGCAGTTGGGAAGGTGGGATTTAATAATTAATTTAATTTATAACTGTAACCAACCATTGCTAACGAAAAACGATTCGGAGCGAAGTTCGATTACACGTGTTTGGAAAGATCGTAATATTTACGATTTTCGTCAAAATATGATATAAAATTGTTATAAAAAAAAAATTCTACATTCTACTCTTTTTTTTTTTTTTTACCACAAAGTACAACGTATAATGTATCTCCTGTTAAATTCTTTAAGTTCATTTTTAGTTAAACGATTACATCCATACAGGCCCCACCAAATAAAAACTACGTAAACAATTCGTAAACATAAAACGCGTATAATACGCTTAAAATCAAAAAAAAATGTTTTTACCACTTTTAGAAAATACAAATATAAGTTTTCTGTCCAAAATCTAAATGTCAAGTCTACGAATATTTTTAACTGAATAAGAACAAAAAAAAAAAACAAAATTGAAAACAATGAGACCGTAAATTTCCGTAATGTTTGCTGTTCTTTCTACGTGCCCCCCCCATTTTACTCAATTATTAAGAAAACTACATGGAAATTCAAAATTCGACTATATTAATCATTAACTAGATCCAGAATAAACATATAATAATGAAATATAAAACACGCATCATTGTGAAATAATTTTAAACCATTTTAAATCTTTCACTCATCTCTAAATCTAAAAAAGACCCCAACGTGCTTAACTTGAATTATATTTGCTTGATATCGTCCGTGATTAATTTATTTACGCATTATATCGGTATTTGTTGCCCGTGTAAAATTAGAGCAACAAATCTCGTTCAAATATCTGCGTGATATATTTATTGGTCACATTAAACCAAAGAAAACATTTTTTGTATGTTTTTTTTTTTTTTATTCCATCCCACGAGACCAGGTTATATCGTCACATGCAAATTTATCTAGTGAAAAAAAAAAAGGTAAAAAAAGTTTTTTTTGACGACCTACAGTCACGCTCGATATCCCCATACGATAATAATAATACAGAGACTCATCTCGCGCAGTTTGTTTAATCAGACGCGGGGGTCTTCTAATTTGCATCGCACGTGTTTTCCACTTTCGATTGCGTTTTCATATCATGTCATACTATACGTCTTATTTACCGACAACATTTTTGTGATTGTAAGCACTGTCCCGAATACAGCGAGTTATAATTTGTTTGGTTTCCCCGGTTTGTTTGTTGTGCTCAATTTTCGCGTGTTGCGTTTTTGTGTCGAGAGATGAAAATTAAAACGGAACATCAAATACTAATTAATTATATCGAACGGACTATTTCGGTCACGGTCAGACGGGCATCGGTAATTCGGCCCCAAGAAAGTTATCTATAAAACACGAATAAACAATTTATACTGTAAAAACACGTTGCCGGACATATGCGGTGTATAGGTCTACCCACATAATTACGCCCGGTGTAATCAAACGATCCACTAAAATATTAATCGAATTTCGATCTCGATACCGACGAAAACCAATGGGAATGTCGTATTCGGTCGCGGCTCTGCAGCTTTTAACGATTTTCATTATACCACACACCGGGCGTTTCCCGGTCACCGTCTTTTTTTTTTCTTATTTATCGATTTAATCAATTTATTTTAGAACTAATTCGGTTTTTTGCGATCGTACTTACACTGAAACGGCGATATTTAACGGGATCCCATAAATTTCTGGGAAATAATTCGCCAGAGCGTTAGAAATCCAGAAGTAAAACGAACAGAAGATAAAATGGCTAGAAAATATAATCACAGGAAGCAGTTTTATCGAGGGTGATTTCTATATCACATTAATGAAAATTCGGAATTCCATATAAGCAGTGAAAATATTTCCCCTCCGATCTACCGATGTGGTTTTTGCATTAAAAACCGAGGGTTATTTTCAGTAAAGGCCGTCGAAGACCCCAAACTCAAAAAATCGAAATATGTAATATTCGAATAGTTATATTCTAAGATTATTTTTTCTCTAGCGCACGGAGAACGAATTGACCCCGACTGTATTTCAATATCATTTTGTGGAAAACTACTCCCTAGATATATACTATTCTGCGATTACAGTGTACGTTTTTTTTTTTCTTTTAATCTTCTGGTTTCTTACTTTCTATAAATCCATTTTCTGGCTGTTTATTTCCTGGAACGTTATGCGCGTTCTCTTTAACCGTACAGGCACTAGGCGTACAAACGATACAATAATAAACGGACCGAGCTCAAGGGAGAAAACGGGGAACCGATATTGATCGTTTGAACGCGAGAGCGCTAGTCGGGGACAGTCGCGGAATGAACGATTAAAAATTTACACCACGGAATCGCGAACTATAAACCGGATAGATAATACAATTTGCGCGATCGCATATTATGGTAGACTGTCGTAATCAATTTCACGGCGTACCACAAATACAGAAGTATCGCGTCCGCGATTGCCGCGGACAATTATTCGAAAACCGTTCTCCGCTCGTTGTCGTTCGCGGATACCACCCCCGCGTACATAAGGGAACGGTGTGAAGGGGATGGTGGGGGGGGGTACGGAGGCCGTAGGCGAGGAAATCGCGCGGTCCATTTATTAACGCGGCAATAGTTTTAACCGCAGTCAACGTATTATTATTATTTCGAAAAATATGTCATTTCGCGTACTCCTCGCGTGTCTGCCGGACAGCAGCGCTATCCGCGGAACTTTAAAATGTACGTAGAGTGGCGCGATTCGGAATGAAACCCGGGAAAATGAATTTTTTTTTTCCCGTAATATTTTTCACGCGTCGTTTGTTTTCCGGGCTATTTATACATACAGTACGACGTATTGTCGGTGAAATTTCCACGGGTTCCCGAAAAACGCATTTTGTCGCCGGTTCAGTTTCGTTACACTTGCATTTGAACGTCTAACTGTATAATATACTATTGTATAGTTGTACACAAAGACTAAACATTACGTTTCCACACGGGAATCTATCTTTACAACGGGTATTAAAAAGGTTCAAAGAGTGAGTTAATTTGGTAAAAAGCCAGACATATTTTACACGTCGTATAATATAGTAGACAGCCGTTTTCAGTAGGCCGCGTGAGTTTAATAATAATAAGGCGTCTTTGCGTCATAAATTAATCGTCGCGTTAGAAAAGTTCTTCAGAGGAGTGATTCTCATTCGCCGGCGAATAAATTATACAAATACTTTGTTATAAACGTTAACAGTATACCTGTATATACGGGCATAATATGCGTACAAAATAAACAGAACAATTTTTGTAATTTTTAAAAATTAATCGAAACACAACCAAATAATGTAACTGAAATGTACACAAACGAAAAAAAAAACCAGTGTACTTATAATAGCATGTGAGACAAAAAATAACAAGGTGTTGTGCGGCTTTTTTTGCGACAGATCTCATTTGTATAAATTGTTCAGAATCGGCAGTTTCTAATTTAACGAATTTATAAAACAATGTTCAATTAGTATATTTTTAAGTAAAAATGTAACTTCTGTTAAACAATTTTACATATGTTTAAACAAAAATTGGACAACTGATACACTCAGTGAATTGGGAGTCATAACAGATAATATATAAGTGCTAAAACAAAACGAAAGGGAACATTCAATTTTTATATCGAAAGCTAAATTATAATATTTTAACACTTGTCGGTTAGGTTAGGTGAGGTTAGGTTAGGTTAGGTTATAATACTCATAATCTAAGTTCGGTACTAATTGCACTTAAAATCAACATCTAAGCGTTTAAAAAATTACATTATAGCCCAAATATAAGCACTTGAGAAAATATTTAAAAAGCAAAAACCTAGTAAAAAGCATGTAGGTCAAATTTCATATTTGAACTTTTGGAAGTTTTAAAACTACACACGTGAATTTGAACTTCACCACGCTCAGCGACGGTTCACATGAAAAGTAGGTAGATAAGATATCACAAACAAAGAAATGTGGTTAGGATACAATGTATTGAGTACAAAGGCAACGATTATTTAAAATTAGATTTCAGCGGCTTACGTAATGAAAAAGTAGAAAATATGAAAACAAGCAGGAGAAACTAAAGTAAAAAGCATTTTTTTTTTAATTATCGAAATAAACAAAAGAACACATTTAAATTTCACAACGTGATATAAACTTACATAGCGCACTGTTAAATTTAATGATACGGCGAAAAAAATAAGCGTATTGTATAAGTCCCGAATCCTGCTTACTATATATAAATATTAGCCATTGGAGTACAAATCCGAAAGTTCTAACAATAAAACTATCCCGCTTCGGATTACTTGCCGACCGTGTTCAACTATATTCTACACGAATATTTTAAACTATTGCGTTACTGTCCTAGAAAATGGGACGGCAAAAATAACCGCTTTATAAATATAAATTCGATACATTTAATATGTATATGTATTTTGATTTGCTTGTTATAATATTCTAAATACAAATTTTATATTAATACCTCGGGAAAACTTTCGAAGTACACGCGCCGTCGAAAACTGTTTGAGAATACACAAATAGTCGCAACATGCATTAACATATTATAATATTATTATAAAATCGATCATTTTCTGGCACAGTGACACCGTTCGAAATTCTAAATCGAGAATGATAATTTAGTTTTTTTTTTTTTAGACGGTCATCGTAAAAATAACGCAGGTAGGTACTCACACATTGTGTTGTTTTGTATTTTGTATTTCTTTTTTAAATTTAAATAAACGACAGATTAAAAACCCCAAGGTAAATTAAAAAAAAAAAAAAAAACACTCATGAGTAGCAGAGCTCCGTCACTAGAGTCGAATTTTTTCCCAGTTGACTTGTCGCCGTTACAATATTTTTGTTTTTCATAATTGATCTAAAATAGTTATGATTAGCAGAGTATAATTACATTTTAATTTGCGGGGGTATTTAAAACCAGGTGTTTCCTGTAAAAACATACAATTTGATTTTCAAATGGTTGGGAGCAGGTTAAATGTTAAAATCTTTCTAACCCTTGATACTCACACCGTGCATACACAAAGCTAAAAATTACCGTCCGCCTACAGGAACATAATAAATTCTTATTGAAATTATATCAAACTGTTATCACTTCAATCCGTCTGTAAAACAACTGTAATTTATTGATCCAGATGGAGCCGCTAAAAGTGTCTGAAAGTCGCGGGAAAAGATACATACATAACAGTCATATTTTAGGGAAAATCTGACAAAAACCCGAATCAACATTTTTTTTTACGAAGTGGAAGAAAATTCGATTCGCATAGAACTTACCCAACACGGTCAAGTAGATATTATGGCCTATGGGCGGAGTGGTACTTATCTGGCACTCGTAGATGCCAGTATCCTTTTTTTGCGGATATTTTATCCGTAACGACCAGTTTTCCGAATGCGGTTCGTGAATGGCTTCGAACCGTTGGTCACTCGTATACGTATACCGCCCGGCAGTGAGAAGATGTATGTCCCGGTGTCGGATCCACGATACCTGAAACGAATATTAAACTTTTGGTCAATGCCGTATTTTGTGATAGATAATTTAAACATTTAATACAGACATTTTCGGGAATAATCAAAACGCAATATTATTAAATATTTGATTAAACGTGCAATCAGAACTTTAAATGGTTTTCTTCCGTATTTGTAAATATACTCTTTACCTTAATGATCTGCAGTAAATATTATTAAATATTTTTATATTATATTATTTAAACGAGGTAGTAGGGCATTATTTTTATCCTCCTTTGCGTATTCTCTCCCACTTCCATTAATAATGTTATACGAGCAGGTGTACCTTACCTATCCCTAAAATATTGATCTTGTTCCTACCTACCCCCATCGTCGATAGTATCACCGACATAAAATATAACCATTTATCATTTATTTTTTCGTAGACACACGGTAAACATTTTACTCTTCTGGTTGACCAGTATTTACTGTGTATCCATTAAGAAACTTTCTTATATCTTGGTAGGTATATAACCTGTAGTGATACGAAAATAGTTTTACTATTTTAACATGTAATACTAAGTAATATGTGTATATAATATTATTTAGGGCGTTTATGACGTTTCGTTTCCGGAGTATAAGAAAAAATGAACAACGACGATAGCAGTGCAATATTATTATTACAACGTTGTATTTCGGAAAATATTTTAAACCCGAACATGCGTGAATAAAGTCTTTATGCGTATAATTTATTATTATTTTACACTCGAACCAACTGATTTGGAAATATTTTTAGGGCGAGCAGGTGTGAAACGGGATGAAGTCTCAAAAGTTGTTTCAACATGAACGAACGAGTGCAGATGTGCCAACGTTCCGCTTGTATATATATATATGTTTAATGCGTTTGTAGTTGTCGGGATTACAAAACAAAGAATAAAGGGGAGGAAATTTTAAATTCCCGGAAAAGTTGAAAACAAGAAGGATTAAAAGAAGAAGAAAAAACATGCCTATAAAAAAACTTTTACACTATGGTTTTTTCCATGGGTACATTAATATTTAAAAAAAACATTTAAATCTAAAGATTGGTATATATTTGACTCTTAATACTTATTTACAGCATTTAAATTAAACATCGACGTTAGAATTGAAAAAAAACCAACCGTTTTTTTAATTTTATTTATTTATTTATTATTGTGTAAATGTAAGAGGCTTTGTCCAGAAACAAAAATATTATAATTGATAAACTTAATCTAAAGAGTAAACACTAAAAAACAAGTTACCCGAGAGAGAGGAAGAGAGGATACAAATTAAACAAATATGAATCGTGAGAAGTTCTTGACAAGCACCAAGGATGAAAAATAATATTCAATATTCTTTAACATTCCATTTTTTACATTACAATGCACGTGTAAAATAATATAAAACGGATCAAGGGGGGGGAGGGCGAGGAATGACAAGAATTATTTAGTTTTTATAAGGTTGCTTGGAATAGGTTATGGATTGTGGGATGAATGAATTGCGTTTTAAAACGTGTAAATCGAGAATGGGCTTTAAAATTAATAATAATTACCTAATGGACGGTACTAGAAGTTAAATTACGAAAAAAAGAAAGGATATATGACTTTATGAGTAAGCAGCCTGTCGACAAGAGTAGGAGATAAAGTTTTTTGAGAATAGGCTCATTGTTACGGAGTGAGAATCGTATATTGATGTTATATATTTCTGATAAGCAATCAAAGAACTCATCAGAGGATTTCGTTTGTAGCTCGTTTCAAGTTTACACGCGGAAGGGTAGGATATTTTTCATTAATTTAAATCTCAGAAGTTTACGTTGAACATTCTAAATTCAGGAGCAAGCCAGCATTAATTAATGAGTGACGGACTCGTGGTTAATTTTTTAAGGTTATTTTAATTTGATCTTTTCAACAGTGCGTTCCAACAGTTTGTCGGTTCTTATACGGTATATACGAAACCGCATTAAAAATGTTTTGTATATTTCCTTCTTTGATTTTTTGAAAAGGGAAATTATTATAGTACAAGTACTTATAATAGCATTATTCTGAAAAATCCACTAATCAATTAATTGTTATTATTTATTCTGTTATTGTATCGGGGTATATTGTGTTTAATTTCATTATGAAATACATTACAGAGTTCAATAGAACATCGGGTTAAGAAAAATAATAATACGTATATAAGAACACAATGGGTTGCAAATTTGTATTATTTCTACTCGCGATACTCCCGTTTATAATAAAATATGAGAAAAATATTACGTCCGATAGGTAGGTACTGTTATTTTTCAATAATCATAAATTCAGCGGTTTGTTTACCCAAAACTATATTTCATAAATAACATAATTTATAATGGGGTGTATGGGTGTAGTTTATCGTTATTCATGAGTAAATTTGGATTTTGAGCGGAACAAAGAATGTATATTGGTTTTACTACGATACATGCGATTTTCTATTTTTTTTTTTTTTTTTTTTTTTTTTTTTTTTTTTTATTGATTTTTTTTGTGTATACGTGCACAATTTTTCTACCGGAAATCTTGGTATAATAAGCGACAAAAATTAATTATTTTTGTGGAATTTTGGATCTATTTTTTTTTTTTTATTAAAATCAATCTCATATTATTAAAAAAATCCAAATACTTAAGCGCGTATTATAAAAAATTGATTACATAAAACCGTAAACAATTTGATCGTGCCATAATTAATATTTCAATATTATTTACGGCAGCATATTATTATAAAGTCCGCCGTAATAATATTCAACTATATATATAGTTAACTGGTGCTTACCTTACGCGTAATTCATGAGGCCTGTAAATTAATATTTGCACAAAGCTTTCTATGGTAATACCTAATATATGTTACTCGAATAAAGAATTGAATTGAAAATTAAAAAGATCTGATTTATTGCCACGGATAGGCATTTTACTGTTGTAGATGGAAAGTCAGAAAGACAGAATGCTCGATTTTAAAAATAGAATTTTTTTGACCTCGATTCGAGCTTTTCACTTTAAGACTCGCTCCTGCCATCGAAAACTCCATCGCAATTTAAAACCAATGATTCGATTATTTTTCAATACAAAATATGTAGGCACGTACTTTAAATAAGATGCACTGTAATTGTTGTATCAGATTATATTTTGATAGTAAGTAAAATTCATAAAGTCGCGAAGTGTGCGTACCAATTACGCGTAATAATAACGGCCGATCGACCGTATTAAAACCGTATTGCCGTATCCCGTACATATAATAATATGTAAATGATAATAGTCCGCAAAACAGTCGCGCGCGCGTCTGAAGGCGAGTGGGTGCGCAAAAAATGAATAATAATAATAATGATAATAACGAAAAAAAAAAACGAATTAAAAACATCGCGTCACGAGAATCCCATTCAACACTTTTTGGCGTCTAACGGCGTCGGGGGTAGGAAAAAAAATTATTATAATTGGGGCCGTGGGAATTTGTAGGAAAGAGCATTAACGGGAAAGTTCCGGTTCGCCGACAGAACGGCGGACGGCTCCGGAGACTCGGTCGGGAGCTAAGTCGTGTTTTTCGAAAAAACCGTATTACATAAAGGTATTCTAGGATAATGCGGGACGGGTGCAGTCACTGCTGTAGGTAATATAATGTATATCTGTACGCAACGATTAACCATCGCTAACGAAAAAACGACTCTGAGCGGATTTGGTATTATTAAATAGTTATTTTTATAAAGTATGTATAATTTAATAATAGTGAGCATTATTTAGTATTAGTATTGTTATTATAATTATTTTTATTTAGTAGTCTTTAGTATTATAGTTATTTATATTTAGTATAATTTTAGATTCTGAATGGAGTGAACAACTTTTCTACCAGAAGACTTGCTCGGATTTCTAAGTGTAGAATCTTTTCTGAAAGAAAATCGATGTGGGGAAGTACTATCAGGAAGTAGTTTTTCAATTTTCTCAAGAGTTTTCGCGTCAAATATGAAAAACCGAAAAAAAAAAAAACGGGAAAATGTACGAAATATACTACTAAAATATTAAGACTTTTTTTTCCTATCCACGACTTTTGAACCAGCAATTTTGCTCTAACTTTTAATAACAGCAATGTTTCTAAAAGGAAATTTTACTAGCGAGATACTTTAAAGAGGTCATTTTTCAATTTTCTCTGGAATTTTCTTATCAAACCGAAAAACCGAAAAAAAAAACGAGAAAATATAAGAAATATAGTTACAAGTTAAAATATATTACTTCTTTCTTTCTGTGCACAACTTTTTTACCAGCAATTTCGTTCCAACATTTATACCCAACCCAGAATCTTCAGCACTTAAATGAGACGTATTTCAGATGTCGGGAAGGTTTTCTAAACCAGGACATTATATGAGGTGTGAAGAGTCATATCTTTAATACCGTCCAGTATTTGTTCCCGGGGGGGGGGGGGGTGTGGTGGTGGTTATGAGGTCATTCGCCTATCTCCCCCGAAAAACACACCGTAGTTAAATATATTCTTTTTCTTGTTTTTCCAGAGATATGCGCCATGTTTCGTTGTTGTAAATGGTTTTGCTGTAGGTTTTGAAATGAAAACGATGTAGTTTACGTATTATTATTTGTGGTTCATCACATTATAGGACTCGACGTTAAATATATTTTCGTTATAAAGATAAAAAAAATAAAACAATAAATGTTAGTTTTGTTTACTAAAATAAACGTAAAGGTTATAAAAAAATAGAATATAATAATAATAATAACAATAATAATGGTAATCATCTTGTGAAAAAACGAGGAAATTAATTATTCGAACACATTCTTGAACTTTTGCTCTATTAAAGACTTTAGATTTTGAAAATAACGTAAGTCGTCCTATATACACAACTACACTATAGTGGAAATAAGGATACTTAAAACTTTAAACTCCTTTATAAATTCAATTTTCGTATGGGTATAAACACTCTACAAGAGACTGTATTTTCACCGTGAAATAACAAAACTCCGAACGAATAGCTGATATAATTTACAACAATAAACGCCACCCAGGCGTAAT